TTTAGAGAATATACTTGAAAAACCTGTTCAAAAATTTGATCCAGTCTCAGAATTAGACAAAAACAGTTATACATTATCAAAATGTTAAGTAGGCTAGAAATACATTCAAATGTTTATAAGCAAAATGCTAAAGAAGCAAAATGTTATACAGGCAAACTGTTTTACAGGCAAAATGTTATTCAGGTGAATGTGTACTAGGCGAATGTGTACTAGGCGAATGAGTACAAGGCGAATCTTCTACTCCATATTGGATTGTTAGAAAGACAATTGTTTGTTTGGTTATTATGGTGGACTAAGGCATACAGAAATGCTGGATATTCAGATAGAATTGTGTAAGAGAACATCTAAGGAGTAAGGGAATCTGTTGACACATTTAAAATTCGGTGATGGTGATGGACCAAACCTCTGTAGAGTAAAAAAGTAGATGTTAGTTCCACATTTATAGAAAATATATTTCGGTCTGGGTTGACCCTCGTCAGTTCTTGAGATTGTTTCTTCACAAAGATTAAAAACAAACTGTTGACATATTCAAGGTCCCAGCAATGAAGTGATAAACGATCCAGTAGGTTTCTGGTCCCTAGAACCGACGATAGTCGCAGTGCTGATATTGTTGACCAATACATTGGAACTACTAAAGAGAAGCTCGGAAAATTTACTGGTCGTCTTCTTTGGACCGGGAGACAGCTGACAGCCACTCGTGAACCATAGATGGACGGGCAAACTGGAAAGGGAGGGAAATAAAGAATCTGCATGGACCCCCAGATGAGCAAGAAGAATTATAACAAAGATTTAAACATTTGAAAATATTAACTGTGCCTCGTACTATTTCATTTTACAAAAAATATTAAAAAAATAAACGACTTATAAAAATAAAATGTTTTTTTTCAGTGAAAATCCTAGACATGTAATTTGAAAATACACGGGATATTAATTCTCTCAAAATGGAATAAATATGTCTTTATTAAATCTTATTATTACTATTTTCCACACTATTTCCTAATTTCTCAAATCTAATCATATTAACTTTATTAATTTATTTATCAACCTAATCTGTTATTTACAATCTGTATTGTCCAAATCAAGTAAACATATTTTATTAGATAATTCCCAACGCTTACCAACCCTGATTTATTTATAACAAGTCTTTGTTGATATTCTTCATCGTACTTATTTATCGTATTTAAAGATGAAACTTTTAGAATTTGTTTAGTCGGCCTATGTTCACTTTTTTGCGTCATTAAAAAATAGAAACTTATCCCTCTATCTTTGCAACCCAATGTCGTAGACCTTTAATGTTTCAAACTATGAATTCTGTTATATCTAAAAATCTAAGTTTGAAATATTAAAGGTTCACACCATCAGGTTTCAAAGATGTAGGGATTTTAAAAGTTTGTGGCAAAGACTCAATTCCTTTACATGAGCTGGGAACTATAATGTATTTACCAAAATATGATTATATTTTTTCCATTTCTATTGAGAGGATCAGTTGAGATGGAATTGTATTGACCCCCCACCCCCCCACACCATCCAGTGTAGAAAGGCATTTTATTAGTATATATCATTTATTAGTGTTTATCATTGATGAGATTGTTTGATTGTAATATATATAATATGTGGAGTGAATGGTATGTAGAGTCGGATTATATTGTGCCATGTCAGGCTATTACTGACACCTTAAACAATTGATTTCATCGAGAGCACATCAATAGGGGATATATAACATCCAACATGCAATATTTATTTACAAGGGGTGGATTATTAGTAAAAGCGAATTTTGACACGTCATTGATGAGGAAGAAAAAAGAACAAAACCATAGGAAAAATTATGAAAGTGTTGAAAAAGGGTTTTTGTTTGTCAAATTATTTTTAGCACAAATTGATTTTATAGAACTATTTAGTTAGCATTTTATCATATATTCTTGGAGATTTGGAGATGGAGAATTAGAATTAAAATGTTTATTTTGTTCCAAGTATATTTGAAGATTGTTTATGTTTATGAGCAGTATATGTCGGCACAACAGGTAGATATATAAACCCTTGTTAACAAACGACTATTCCCCCCCCCCTCCTCTCCCCTCCCCGGGCTATAATACAGGTATTCCCCAGGGCAGGAAAATAAACAAAACATTAAGGTTCCTGAAGAAATACATAATAAAGAAAACTTTTCGGCTTTAGCATCGGTTCAGGTAAAAAGGGACTATCAAGTTGAACATCATCGATATTGGAGCTGAGCCAACCGCCCATATGGCGTTTGTGCATACAAAATTTTCATGTTATACATCATTTTATTGGACATTTTAAGCTAAATTCAAATTCGAAACCCATTTTTAACCAAAGTAAAAATTGAATAATCTAAGGCCGTGCTCTAACTCATCCATTTATTTATTTTTTCAAATTTCGTTTTACAATTCAATTCGAATTCAGTATAAAATGTACAAGAAAATTAAGTATAATATTTTTTGAGAGGCCTATGTAGTGTTTTCTCCGACATTAAATCGTTGGAACGCAACCGTTGGGACGATTTCGAAATATTTTTTCGGTCTTATGCACAAACCCCCGGTGGGCGATTGGCTGATCTCTAAAAAAAATCATAAATCGAGGTAATCTCGTGTAGTTTAATCGACCCCCTTTTTACGCACTTTAAATAGTTAAATACAGCTGATTACAACTTTGAACAACTTGATATGAGTAACCATGAGAAGAATATCTATCTTGAAAAGAGCTATAATCCTCCAATTTCCCTCATTAATTTGCATAAGTTCGCAAGACTATTTTACCGAAAACCCGCAATTTCCAAGTAAAAAAGCAAGGATATCTCCAATCTCCACCATCTCTGCTCAGGCAAAGTTTTAAAGGGTACATTGTATATAGGAAATGTAACGCTTTACACAGAGTTTTTTAATTGAAATTACGTTGACAGTCCCTATAAAATAATCCAATTCTAGGAAAATTTTGAATTTAAACATTTTCGGATATCTATATTGTTAACAACTTATGAATAGTTTATCAATCAGAATTGATCAAGACATCTAGAAAAATTATCCAATTGAGACTTGTTTTCCGGGGGGGGGGGGGGGTCATAATATTGACAGAGAGGTCATGTGCTTACTTGACAAAAAAAGAATATATGTACCAAGGGGCCCATACAACTAAGGAATAGGAAGACGACATTTTAGCATTGTTATGTGTTTTAAGAGATCAGTTTTACCGGTAGGTTAAACATCAAGTGAAATGGGACTCTAGTGCTTTATATTCCTAGATTCCTATTCCACAGTTGTACGGGTGTCACTGCAAATAAAACGATTGAATAAGATGAGAAATGATAATCTGTTGAACATATTATTTGTCCGAGCTGTAAACTCATCCCTGAGATGTGAAGTGTGAAGCCTCCCCTCGACCTTGAATTCTATACTCTTGTTTACACTCCACACTACAGTCTATACTATTCACACAATTCAATACAACTTATACTACTGTATAATACAAGCTTTAGATCGCTGTGTTCATTCATAGATCATAATTCATATGAGTATTATTTCAAGTTCATTAATATCATATTCATCAATTACAGTTAATTTGTCAGATTTGCCGAGAGCATGCGCTGCGGGAGTAGCGTATATTCTTCTAGTTCCGTTTTTTAAAAAGAATATTGAAAACTAATTCCTGATAGAATCGTATAATTTATTAATTTTTGTTAATTGAACATGTTTTATTTTATATATTTTACATTATAAAAAATGAAAATTTAATTGATAAAATCTCAAAATTTAAAATTTTGAATTTAATGTTTTAATCATTGGATATTAAGGAATAAGGATTAATTGAATGTCAATTAAAGGGAGTGACCGGCTATGTAAGGTTGTTGAACTGAGTTTAGAATTTTTTTTTTTTACTTTTTAACTGTGCACATATACATATAATAGCTTTGTTTAATGTACAGTAAAACTATTACTCCCCACAATCTCTTATAATCTGATGCTATTATCTTTGCAATTTAATGTCCGAAAAAAATGAGATTTTTCAAACAAAAAATTTTGCTATTTAGATCAAATGGATTTAAATACTGTCAGGGAACGCAAATATAGGTGTACGTAAAGTGATTCTGTTAAAATAGAGATATAAGTCGTAAAATAATCTACCCTATAATTCTGAATAAATTGCTTTAAAATTTAAAAAGTTAAAAAATAGGTCGTAGAAATGTAAAGTTTGAGGAAAGTTTCCAAAGATCGGATTTTTGTGCGTGAATATTTGATTTGAAAATATAGATGCTGTAAAGTCTGATCTGTAAAAACCTACATTGATTCAATAGAATTCTAGAAACTAAATATTTAGATTGTTTTTAAATCCTTTCAATAACATTTAAAGAAACATTTCATAATATTTTATAAACTTTTCAAATATTCTTTTCTCTAAAATACGAAAATAATAAAAACAAAAAACTTTGCATGAACTAAAATTCAAAACATTTAAAAGCAAATGAAATTTCAAAGAACACAAAAACCAAGAATAACCTATTTTTTGAAAATCCATTATCTTTTCTGAATTATTTTCTGGCAAAGATTGTAAATTATATGTTCTCGTAGTTTTTAACCGCTACAAAGCAACATATAAGATTCATTATTTCTGATTGAAGCTTGGTAATATACTTTAATCATTCACGGCATTGCTCCATTAGAGTGTTCAACTTAAACAGTAAGGACTCAAACGATGAAAAGTGGCAAGTTACCACTAACAATTTTTTTTGTGAGGGTATGCATTTTTTCTTAATTATTTTGCTTGATACTATTCGTATCAATATCTAATTTATGATTTAATTATCAAGGCCATTTTGAATTATCATTTTTCTCAAAATCTAATGCAACCTTATGTGAAGGCCATTAATACCTAAAACTCTACTAAGTCAAAAAGTCATAGTTTCGAAAATATCAAAGCTAATACATCATCAGGTTGCAAAGATTTACAGGTTAGACGTGTTCAGTTCCTTTTTCCGAATCTTGATAAAGGAAAGACAGAGTCTATAAGGGGACACTTGACAGTCGACAGTTGACAGTACCTTTAAAGCATACCTGGATAATTATATCACAGTAGGTTGACCCCCCGACCAGCTGGACACGCGGGTTCTCCTTACACACGCTGGTAGGCTGGTCATACTGACAATAAAAATAATGGTAATAATAATAATAATCTTAATAAAAATAATAATAATAATGATAGTAATAATAAAAATGATAATAATCAAAATAACATAAAAAAATAATAATAGTAATAATAATAATAATAATACCTGTATTGCACACTGAATGTCCTGTGAAGGGCTATGCCACAAGCAGAAGAACCACTGTGTATCAGTTCTGCAGCTTAATCGAACTCTAAACAAAAGGAAATAAGTTTTGGCAGCTGAAACCAGATCTTTTAGAAATTATTTTATTTTGGCTCATTTAGGTTTGGCCAAGCATGTCTGGTATGTATTAAGACCAATAATATAACTCACATAGAATCAAATATAAGTGAAATCAATGTCGTCTTTGTTCTTCCTTTAAATTTTAAATTGTCGCTAATTGATATATAAGCCTGAAAAGTATAACAAATGCAAATATTTTAAGAAATCTTAAACTTTTTTTCTGTAATTAAGAACAGGTGAGAAATCCGTCTAACATAAAAAGAACTGAGTTTTTGCCACAAACTCAAATTTTCTATTTTTTAAATATATGTAAGCCGTTGGTGTAAACCTTTTATATTATAAAATTATATAATATAACTAGAAATTCAAGGCGCTTCGCGCCCTTCTTTCTAGCCTTAGAGGGCGCTTCGCGCCCATCTTCTAAATTAATTGTAAACATGTTCTCTTTGTGTACATCGTAAAACTAAACAAAAATAATTCGCGGATTTTTACAAAAAATTTCGCGGATTTTCAAAATTTTAAAAAATTTAATGACGATCGAATTTTGATAGAGACAAATATTTGAAATTTTGATGATTCATAAACCTTCCCTGGGCTCCCTAGATGTCCCACAAAAAAATTGGGCCCGATCGGTTCAGCCGTTTTGACGTTTATTGGATACAAACAAACAAACAGACAAACAAACAGACAGACAAACAAGCCAAATTTATATATAGATATAAAAAAATTTATAGTTTAAAATATCTAATACATTGAGCTGAAGAGAGCTTATTCAATTGAAAAAAAAGTTGAATGGTTTCCAAATAAACGACAAAAAATCGCTTTCATTCATTAAAATTGTTGATTTTAAAAATCCGATTTTTTGTTGAACAAAGCGATTTTTTTAATAGAAGCGATTTTTTGTTGAATAAAAGTGATTTTTTGTTGCTTAATTGGCAGCCATCCAATTTTTGCTTCAAAATAAGCATGTTTTTTTTGTATTTCATAAACTAGAGTGAGTTATTGGAAAAATCAGAGTTTTTGGCGAAGACTTTGTTCCTTTACTTTAATTTGACTTGTTCATTTGAAAAGATATTACCTAGTATCTGACTGTATCAGAGGAGAAGAATTGTTCCCCGCCAAAATTGTTCTAAAACAGAAAAATTTATAAATACTTATTATAATACAGGGTTACATAGAGATGACTTGTCAAATCAATAAGTTAAGCAGTTAGTTACAATATGTAAGCAGAAAACAGTTTCAACTTTATTGAAAATGATGATTTAGTTTTGGGTTCTTATAGTTGTTCAATGTTACTAAAGACCATGCATGTAGAGTTTTGTCCTGCGGTATTATTCTAAACTCTAGTTTTTTAATCCATACATCTTTGCAATCCAATGTAGTAGACCCTCAATATTTCAAATTATGAATTCTGATAGATTAACAAGACTTAGTTTAAAATACCAAAGGTTTAAACCATGTGAATGCAAAGATATAGGGATTGGAAAATTTGAGTTTGTGGCAAAAACTCAGTTCGTTTTAAAAATTTATCATTTATTGACTGATTTACCTATATAAAAATCTTATTTATTTGATATACTTAATAATTTCAATTTTGTTTAAAAACAATTTATATTTTTCGTAATATTGTAATCATTAATAGTCTACAACTTGATCAATCATTTGATTAAATATTTTATTTATTTTTATTCGTTGTTTTATTTATTATTTTACCTTTGTGATGTATATTCTTTGCTTAGCATTGTCAGCAGTATCAGGTATCTAGATAGATAAATAGATAGATAGATAGATAGGTAGATAGATGATAGGTTGATAGAAAGATAGATATATTTTAATAATATTTCATTGAAGCGGGTTTGTTATTAATATTTTCGCAGATTTCCTTATCTGGAGGAAAAAGTTATAAATTATTGATTGTTTAAAGCTTAAAAATAACTCTTAGTCTAGAATATCTATACGTACTGTACATTATGTACTGTACAAAATGTTGCACATTACGCACAATGTTTCTAGTGATACCTGGATCAAATAATGACAATTATATTACGCGAAACTAAACAATATGCCAAGGATATAAACTATGAATTTTTTAAAGTTTAAATCCTCGTTTTTTGACCTAGTTCTGTATACAACTGTTAAGATGAGTTTGAAAAAAATTGATAAAATACGGTTAGATCGGTTTGATTGAACTCAGTTGATAAGAATGTTATTAATCAAGATATGAATTATCCGGTTCTACTTAAAATCAAATTAATAAAAAACTAAATTTTAGATTTTTCTAATATCAAAATTCTCCATCACAAAATTAAATTTAAGATTAAAAGAGCAAAAAAATGAATTAATTTCATAAAACCCCCCTCCCTCATTTTATTATCAAACTTTAAAGAAAACGCGATTGGTTCAATTTCTAGCAATCATGTTTAAAGCAATTATATCTACCGCGAAATTAAATTTACTTGACGTTACAGGTCAATAAATTTGTATGAATAAGGTACATGAAAGAAAAAGAACAGAAAAGCATAAACGCTTCATTTTACAAAGGTTTCTTTTATCCATTCATTCTAAAATAAGATTTAGTAGATTTTTAGTATCAATTTTTCTTTCTTCAAAGCCAAGAGAATCGCATTATCAAACTTCGCATTAGTAAAGAACAGAAGTTTAATAATAATCTACAATTTTAGTTCACTTTTAAACTCATATACCAAAGCATTATTTATTATACTATGGATTCACGTCGTGTCTCATCTTGAGTTGAAATGATTTCTGTACTGGAAATATTTGATGTCTGTGTGACCAAAGTACATCTAGGGAAATTTGCAGGGGGCGGAAACGTCATGTGTGTGTGTCTGTACCAAAAGAGTGTGTGTAAGGTTACCGTTCCAAAGGTGTGTACTGTAGGTTTGTACAGTCTAGCTAGGAGAGTACATTTGTTTATTGTTAATTGTTTACTTAAAAATAAGTTGAATATGCATGTAATATATTATTTACATATTTAAGTCAACACTATAAAGCCAAATTTCCATGCAAAGAATATAAATTGATTAACGTTTACAATTAACTACTCGTTATTCAAGTTTAATTTTAATTGACGACATTGTTCTGCAGTTTCCTTGACTGTAGTCATGTTGTGTGTCTGTACCAGAAGAGTGTGTGTAAGGTTACCGTAATGGTCAGCAAAGCAGTGCGACTGGCTTTCTCGTGCCAGACCAGCGCCATTTCCTTTCCTTTTATTCCTATTCCCTGGCAATTTGGCATTGAATTTTAGAACAATAAAAAAGTTTTTTAGATGATTTAAAATTCAAAGCATGACTAACCTGAACATAACTCTGGAGTGTTAATAGTTCTGTCAACTATGTATTTTGAATCCACTGCTCTCTCTGTATTCTCTCTATACTCTGTGTCTCATGTACACCAGACATTATCTTTCTTTAACAAGATATGTATTTGTAATATTATGTCTGTTATTTATAAATAATTCTTGAACGGTTCAAATGCGACAATGTTTTTAATCTTTTATCTAAAGAATCGTTGATTTATATGATATGTGGAACTTTAATTGAAGGGTCATCTTAAATCACGATAAAAATCCCTTTAACTTTTCTAAAATGTGTATTATACATCAAAAATTATAGTGTGCAGTGTACACACACACTGTATATGTACCATTGTACAGAGAAAACTGTTAGGCCCATCTACCATTCATGTGCTGTACTATATACATAGATTGTAAAATAAAGTTTGTTTCATTGTCTGAATTACAAGTTTCCAATTTCTAGAGAGGAAAAATAGAACTTTTCATTGTTTTCAAATATAGGGAGTAAGGAGGGTGGGGTCTACATAATCCTCGGGAAAATGATTCAATCTTAATTTTGGTTAGTCTTAAAAATAAGTCTTTCAATGATTTTTTTTATTTTTTGTGGGATATTGAAATTGGTAGATTTATTGTAGAATTTTTACTGTCCCCGTGTACAGTATACAATGTAAATGTAATGTACAATAAAAATGTCAAGTGTTTGTACACTTTTTTCCACTCCAAAGAATTAGTTCCAAAAGTTTTAAAATCTAAACCCAAACTTCACGTACAAGGTAACAAGGGTTTCTTTCAAGATTAACTTGATTTACTCTATCTTTCGTTTGTTTTTAGAAATCACTACTTTCTTTTGTCAACAAAGAATTTCTAGAATACGTTTTTATGATGCAAATTATGTAAAGTGAATTTTATATAAAAACAAAAATACTAAGAAAATTCTTTTCTTTCAAAATTTCAAGGAGCTGAGATCTTTTTAAAGAAAATAAAAATACATTGTAATAAGTATATATATAAATTTCTGTCTAACTTGCTTTATTACTTTTCTAAAGGAATGCAACTCTAGCATTTCATGATAGAACATTCATTCTACACTTAGACCTTTGGGATACACTAGCTGTAAAACTGGATCCATAATTAGAATAAAGATTGGATTCATAGACAAACTGTAGACTGGATTCATATAAAAACAGTCCAGGTTGACCAAAAATGGCGAATGGTTTCATGAAAAAACAGTGAATTACATTCATAGCCAAGCTAAGGGATACATCCATAAATAAACTGAAAACTGGATTCATAAATAAACTTAAAACTGGATCCATAAATAAACTGAGGATTGGATCCATAAATAAACTGAGAACTGGATCCATAATGAACTGAGGACTGGATCCATAAAAAAACTGAGGACTGGATCCATAAATAAACTGTGGACAGGATCCATTATTAAACTGTGAACTGTATCCATAAATAAACTGAGGACTGGATCCATAAATAAACTGAGGATTGGATCCATAAATACACTGAGAACTAGATCCATAAATAAACTGAGGATTGGATCCATAAATAAACTGAGAACTGGATTCATAAATAAACTGAAGACTGGATCCATAAATAAACTGAAGACTGGATTCATAAATAAACTGAAGTCTGGATCCATAAATAAATTGAAGACTGGCTCCATAAATAAACTAAGAACTGGATCCATAAATAAAAAATTGAAGATTTGATCCATATTTTAATCGAAAACTGATCCCGGTCATAACTAACCTTAAATCTAGATTTATTCAGAAACTGCAGACTTTCGTGGGAAAGGATTGCATTTATGATGAAACTTTAAAATTACTAAATCTATTGAAGTAATTAATCCATTATCCCAAAGGAAGTGGTAAGTGCAGGGCTGGGCACATTCTGACTTTTTTTTCAAGCCGTTCGTTAACGGTTAGTTTTCTAGCTAAAAACGGAAACGTTCGTTTCATTAACGGTATTTTCCGTTGTTTTCAAAAACTATCGTTCGTTAACGATTTCAATATTATTAATGGCATTAAAGGAAGATAATTTAGAAATGATTAACGGTTCAAGCCGTTAACGAGCCGTTAACGATTATTTCATGTAAAAATAGCTGGGGAAAAATAAAGACAACATTAAATAACATCAAAATGCATAACATTTTTATAGAACTCAACAAATAATCATGAGAAAAAAAACAGAAAACTGAGTTTAAAAACATCGAAATACATAAAAATTTCATGCAATTTTAAGCAGAAAACAGAATGAAAGTCTCCGTTATTTTAAAACACGTCCATTTCTTTTTTAAAAACGGCTATTTCTGTTAGTTAACAATTTAAAACGATTATCCGTTTGTTAATTTCACATGTCCGTTCCGTAAACGGAACTTTCCGAGGCAAGTGTCTGCGCCGGATTACAATCCTGCGAATTCGTTTCTCTTAGTACAGCAATTTTTGATACATAAGCTTCATCTAAAATTGTCAGGCATATTCCCTTTTGAACTTTAAAACGCGCCTGGTACGAGTGAGCGCAAAATGAATCGAGAGCTCGTGAAGGAGCGGTGGACGAGCAGAGCGCGGCACCAAGTCTTCATCGGAGCCTGTAAGGCCTTTAAGCCTTCACTTCCATATCATTCGGCGTAGTATTAGTAACCCTAAAATGTTTATTATATTTCAGATAAAAATGAGAATGAGAACTGTTCGATTGGAGAGCTCTCATACGGAATTGTACAAATTCTAAAAGGTTGAATTCGTATAATTCTTACAAGTGTTGACTGTTAAATATCCCAGGTTTAGAATAATCAGAAAAAAGGAAAAGCTAGGTTTTGACTAATGCCGGGTTCAGACAGATTAAGAGAGAGAATAGAGGTTAATACATCTATTGGAGCGAGGCTCAAGAGGCTGACGAGTGCAGACAGATTAATGTAACCACGTGAATGCAAAGTATAGGAGGAGGGGGTTCCTAGAACAACGAAAAAAATGGTAGACAGGGATTGCTTGAAGAGGGAAGGGTAGGGGGGAGGGGGCGTCATTTACGTTGTCAGAAAGTTGGGAAATAGAGGGAGGGGTATTTTACAGGAAAAGTTGGGAACTGGGGAGGGAGGAAGGGGGGGGGGTCTATTTTACATGAAGGTTAAGAAAGAGGTTGAAGGGGTTCTAATTGTTGATTCACAGGTGAAGGTTGGCAAAGAAAAGGGTAATTTTTTTTAAAAACTTTTGCGAATTCCTGAATTCGCAAAAGTGCAAGTTCTTCATCTTCTCTTTGCTTCTTCTTAGTAAAATCTATCTTAATAAAAATCCCGGTTTCAGAGAAAACAAAGTTTCTGAACACTTTGAATGATTTAATGTTGAAAAAGTAACAACAACCCAAAGCTAGGAAAAAATTAAAAAACAATCCGAGTTCAGAGTTTAAATCTGTGTCATCTTGTTAAATGCCAAGTCTATCCTCCGTCTAGATTTTCGTCTTTTTCGTGATCAATTTTAAGTTTCAAATCTATTATTCATTTTCAATGAACAATATTAGATCAATGAACTCAAACATTAACTTTTAACCATATTGTAGAAGAAGCACTTACTAAAAACATCTTAAAGTCAATTTATTTTATTTATCAACACAATAAAGAAAAAATCTGAATGATTCTTGCTGTTGTATATTTTTTTTTACAATTGTTTAAAAAATACTAGCAGTAGCACTTAATAATTTAATTCTTTAACTCAATAGAGAAAAAAATGACTAAAATGACTCTGAAAACTACAAAGTTAAATGGTTTTGAATCCTGATAAACCTAAATGTAGATACCAGAAGCACTTATTTTAATTGGTTAATGGCAAAATAAAAAATGGTGTCGACCATGCTTGTGTCACATAATACAGAAGCAGATTCAATTTCATCAATGAAAATGTAAATAGTTTAAGAAAAGTAAATACGCTTTGTTTTATATATTTTTGATGAGAGATCAAAAGGTGTATTTTGATAAAAACAAAATATTTTTTTTTTGATAAATTAAAAAAATAAAACTGTCTTAAAAATATCCCTAAACTCTCCCCCCCCCCCCCACCTTCCTGGAGATCGTCTGAGACAGAATATTTGAAAGGTAAAATACATGAATATGTTTCTTTTTCTATTTTATGTTTCTGTAATTCTGCACCGTCATCATTTATTTACAACTGAAGTCTACATATTAAATTTACTCGGCAAATTAAAAATTTTAGAAATATAATTTTAAAATAATAATTGTCTAAAAAATTCCAAGCTGCAATTCTCGGATAGAAAATCGAAGATACTCCTTTAGAGATAAACGTCGATTCAATTGCGTTGAGTTGAGACTTCCATTACTGAAACACTGTCTAGTGTCTATTGTCTATGCAAAAACAAAAAACTTTTGATAATTAAAGCATTATTAACCAAACTTGGTAATTGTATCTTTATTTTATATCAAAATAATAGTTTGGTTCATTATTATGTTCTTAACAAGCAAAACAGTTTTCTATCGAAAACTAAATTAACAGGTTGATTCTGTTAATTTAGCTGATTGCAATCGACATTATTTTTAATAACAAATTTTTTTGTTATTATCTCCAAAATATACTTAATTGACTTTCTCTGATATAATTTTAATTATTTAATTAATATTAAGATTTTCTTAAACTACAATTTAAATTTGTTAAAATTTTTTCAATGATTTGAATTATTTAATTTGTTTACTGTTTCGTTCAGCTATCTATATTTTGTGCATTTACAATATACATATACTGTACTATAGCAGCCTGAATGTCAGTCCGGTACTTCAAATAAACCTGAGGTTTTAGAAAGATGAGCTTCCATTATAATGATTAATTAGAAACCTGATCAGTACAAATATAGAAAAATGGCTGAATTTGGCGCCAATTTTTTTTCTTCAAGATTTTTTAAATGTGTGTTAACTGTTAAATGCATCTAGATGCTCAGTCAGTCTTGAAGTGAGTATGTTTTCATTGAAATGAAGTTACCAACTATCAAATATCAGGTGCAAACCCCGGCGAATAAATTTTTCACATTCTGCCATTCTGCTTAAAGCTTCGTAAACGCAAAATGGAAAAATATTTGTGATATTACTGTCATTGATTTTATTCTAGCACTTAATTCCATTAACAGACATTAAGTAATCGTCTTTGAATTGGCTTCATTAAACTTTTTATCATATCTTCTGGAACTTTTTAATTTTTAAACGTTTTTTTATTTAACTTCCAAGTATTATGCAACTCCGCAATACTAGTTACTTTTCTTTTTTAAACAAAACAACACAAAAGTCACCGTGCGACAGTTCTTCTCCTTTCAAATACAAAATACAGTTGTTATCTAAGTTCAATCCAACACCTTAAAGTGCATGTTAATTACAGTACAGTACATGAATCACTTGAAGTTTTTGCGCTGTATTTTGATGTGATTTATGTTGCTTCTCTCACTACAGCTAGTGTAAGACTGCCTCCAAAGTCCTCACCTTGTATCTATCTATCTCGTTACCTATCTATCTATATATCTAGATCTAACTAAACATCATCCTCCGTAGGAGAGGAGAATGCAATTTCTTGGTTTAGTCTCAAGGAGGTTGCAACAAATGAATTGATGAATGTTGTTGAGAGTTTATTCTTAAACTATTTTTACGGTATTAGTATCATCAATGCAATTTATTGGCAAAAATGGAATATCAGTCCTCTGGAATTTTTTTTTATCAACTAGCATTAAGATCATATCTGGACAATTATGTACCTCAACACTCAACATAATGTGTTTATGAAAAAAAAAATGAAATAAGTTTTAAAATATTTCCAATCTGACAAGTAAAGAAACAAGAAGGAATTATAAAAAACATGAAATATACTTTTTTATTTTCTGTCCTTTCTTATACGGTATTTTTCCTTTTTGTCCTTTCCGTCTTTTTGTATATTGTGCAATTTTTTTGTCTTGTGCTTCTATTTTTTCCCTGTTTTTTGTCCTTTTTTCACTTTTTGGGTCTATTTTTTGTTATTTTCTTATATCTTTCTTATTTCTGCAGTTTGTCTGTACTTGAATAAAAATCAAAATAAACGTGAAATACTATTTGTCAATTAAAGACTAGGACAACTATAAGTATACAGCTAACTAAGATTGACAGAATTAATCTTCCTCTTGCAAAATCTATTGAAAACAATTTACGCAGATTTATAAATAAGAAACTGTGTTTTAAAGTATCATGATAGAATGCCGTGAGCCGTGACGATCTTAAAAAGTAGGTTAAGAAAGAAGTTACATTTTTTTGTGTGTAACCTTGTATTAAAAAAAATAACATGGAGTATAACACCTAACCCTATCCCTAGCCTTCATCTAACATTTATCCTCCATCAAACACTTATCCTTCATTTAAAATGTAACCTCGGCCTAACCTCCATCTAAAATTTAACCTCCATTTAACATTTATCCTATATTACGCTTTTAACCTCCTCCTAAACTTCATCTAACCTTTATCCTCCATTAAACATTTAACCCCCATTAAACATTTAACCTCCATTAAACATTTAACCTCCATTAAACATTTAACCTCCATTAAACATTCAACCTCCATTAAACATTTGACCTCCATTAAACGTTTAAACTCCATTAAACATTTAGCCTCCATTAAACATCTAACCTCCATTTCACATTTAACCTCATCTTACCTCCATCTAACATTTAGCCACCATCTAACATTTAGCCTTCATCTAACATTTAGCATCCATCTAACATTTAGCCTCCATCTAACATTTAGCCTCCATCTAACATTTAGCCTCCATCTAACATTTAGCCTCCATCTAACATTTAGCCACCATCAAACATTTAGCCTCCATCTAACATTTAGCCTCCATCTAACATTTAGCCACCATCAAACATTTAGCCTCCATCTAACATTTAGCCTCCATCAAACATTTAGCATCCATCTAACATTTAGCATCCATCTAACATTAGCTTCCATCTAACATTTAGCCTCCATCTAACATTTAGCCTCCATCTAACATTTAGCCTCCATCTAACATTTAACCTCCATCTAACATTTAGCATCCATCTAACATTTAGCCTCCATCTAACATTTAACCTCCATCTAACATTTAGCATCCATCTAACATTTAGCATCCATCTAACATTTAGCATCCATCTAACATTTAGCCTCCATCTACAACATAACCTTCATTAAACATCTATCCTCTATTCACCAGATTTTGTTCACTTTATCAGCAGCTTCCATACTTTTATGTATGAGACTGGTGCAGTGTTGCAAGGAAAAAATGCATTTCCAGTCAGCCCAATAAACCGAGGCCCAGATAGATAGATAGATGGGGGGGGGGAACTACTGGACCTAGTCATTTGGTCTATTTTTATTTTCATTTTTACTACTTTTATGTTTAATTTATTATAATAGTTTTATGCTCATTGTAATATTTTTATTTTCATTTGTACTATTTTTAAGGTTTATTTAAGCTATTTCATATTTACACGTTCATTTGAACTATTTTTATGTTCATTTGAACTATTTTTAAGGTTTGTTAAAACTATTTTTATGTTAATTTAAAATATTTTTATGTTTATCCAAACTATTTTTTATGGTGTATTTGACCTAGATTTATGTTCAATAACATTTGAACTATATATTATATATTTGAACTATTTTCATAACTGGTACGAGTTGTGACCTCGGAGCTTATAGTTTTGATTTCATGCACAAGTATAAGAACTTATTTTATTAGATATTAGATATTCAAAACCTTTTTGTTTTACACAAATGCTCTTTAATTATAAGAGTTAGGATTGAAAAAAATATACTTCAGATTGATTTCTTAAATTGTGGAGAAGTTTTATTGAAAAATTAAGCGTTTTCAATATCTAAATGATTTTCCGTAAAAATTTAAATTTTATGAAATTATGGAAATGTTGACTCCGAAAAAATCAATCGTTTTTTTCAAAAAATCTCTAAAAATCCCACAATCCAGGTAACAAAAGTGGAGAAATTTCGGGATGCAATTCATATTTTTTGTTTACATTTTTCTGGGTTTTTGAAAATGTATAGTTAAGGTCTGTAGCTCAAATGGTTAGCATGATGTTACAGGGTGTCCCAAAAAACATGGGAATTCAGTGACAAATTTGATATCGTCTTTGTTATGAATTAGCATTGTAATACCTAATTTCAAAAGCCATAATATAATTATGTCTGCTAGAGTTTATTTTATGAAAAGGGTAAAAGACTTAAAGATGAGTCTATTATGTCTCCGCAAGATGAACAGGGAAGACGGCCAAGTTTACTCTGTTTGTATACTGCAATTTTCTTATTTTACTAAGTACAACTGTATGCAGTCAAAACATAAACAAACAAATTTTGAACATAGCAGACGAAACTCTTACAGATTACAGCTTTCTCAGTAGGTATCACTATACTAAATCAAAGAATTATTTGAAAAGACGATACCGAATTCGTCACTGAATTCCCATGTTTATTGGGACACCCTGTCCGAGAAAGATAAGTCTGGTTTTTATATTTAATCATAATAAAAGCTGTATAAGAGAACACATTGTAAATAAGCGTTTCAATGGAGCCATTCGCGGACAATGTTCGTAACATATGTATTGAATGAAATCCACAGGTAGTTAATATAATTAGTTGTTGCGCGAGAGAAAATTTGATTATTCAGCGCGCAGTACAGTATAGCAGGTGACGCGGGCAATCCAGTTCGTGTTATACGCACGCACGCAAAGTATTGGTGATTTGTACGAGTAAACTACCAACTCAGTGCGCTTCACACCTCTCGCTGGTTTATAGCAACGTTTAGTGTTTTAGAGAATTCAGAGATATAAAAGATACGCATAGAAATCAAAACTTTGTGACAGAAACGGTTTAGTGAATTTTTCATCAACGTCGTGTAGAACATTTTGACCATTATACCATCATAGACCTCTTGTGTTTAAAATCCAGTGTTAAACCCAACTAATAATACAGTGAGAAGATACTTTATATGATAATTCTGCAAACAAATTTACTACAAATTATTACATGGTTTCTCAAAAGATTCAGGTATAAATATAAAAGACAATAATTAAAAAAACGTAAAAATTTCAGATAAATGAAATGGTATGCTGCCTTCAGGCATTCTTGTCCTCAAATCTAGTCCCTTCCTGCCCTGATTCCTGTCTTCAAATTTCAAGATGTTGATTAACAAGAAATCTGTATTTCCTGCCCTGGGTGTTTGCATCACTGTATTTCTGGTTTACTTCCTGTTAGGTTGGTAGAATTAAACACCTTGAAGGACTCATTAACGTTAATTTAATTGACTCATTTTTCAAAGAGTGTCCTGGCCACGAAAGAAGACCCACTTAATTTTCAATTGAATTTGCTGCCCTTTCATTCTAGTGATGTGTCTTTTAAAAACTGCAGAAACCAATTTTTCTTCTTCAGATAAATCTAATTTTCCTGAAAGACAGTCTGAAGATGCCCCTACTCCCGGTGGTAGACATATACCTCTAGATCCGATTATTAGACTATCTGAAGATCCGGTTAGTAGACTATCTCAGAATCCGGGTAGCAGACAATTGGAAGATCCGAGTAGTAAACTTTCTGAATATCCAAGTGGTGAACTCTCTGAGGATCCGGATGGTAGACTATCTAAAGATCCGGGAGGTAAACTGTCTGACAATTCTTCTGCTCCTGGTTTCAGAACTGAACCTACCGTAGCCAGAATCTGGATATCTATGGGTAATTATGAAACGGAAAATTTCATAATTTAGCATTCACAATTCATATCGAAATATTTATTGGCCAACGCATTTTAAATCTAATTCCGACCAAAGCCGGGAACTTTTAAGTATTCAGGGAACAAGCTAACTCCAACCAGTTTTATTGGTCAAATTTCACATTTCAATGTTTAAAAACCTAATCAGCAAATTAAAGGGTTAAGAAGTCAAATATCGATTCTTTTGATATCACGTTGTGGGTAGACCCTGCAGGGATAATTGTAATAAAGGGATCAAGCATTCAAGACTCAACACAAAGTTTTGACCCCATTTAAGGTTAAGAAGTTTATGTTTCCGGCTTAACTCCAAATCATTAAAAAGTTCCTGTATCATATTCGTATTAAACTGTCCTTTCTCTACAAACTGTGGTTGTCTGGATAATGAAAAACGAATATTTAACTATCCTATAAAACTGTACTGTCTGTTTTATCTTTGGTTCTCTAGGGGTATGTTTATTAAACTGTCCTATCTGTACAGTCTGTGTTTGTCTAGGTCTATGTTGGGGGCAGAATGCACAAGTTCACGGAAAAAAGGAATTCCCTTACTCCGAAGCAGCACTCAGGTGAACTCCATGACAAATATGAGATTTATGACAATTATGAATGTTTGTGACAAGTTTGAAAATTATGACAATTTAAACTGATACTGACAATTATATGGCAGTTTTGATATTTATGACATTTATTATCTACATTTCTTTTTTAATATACTGTATTTCATAGGTCTGTGTCTCTATGGTCTAGGTTAACTAAAGCTCAGCCTATAGTTCAGATTTCCTATTCTGGAACCATATCTGCTGAACTACTAAAATACAGGTTATTAGTATTTTTACTAAAGTTCAGATTTTCTATTCTGGATCCATAAATACGGGTTATCAGTATACTAGTTCAGATTTCCTGTTCTGGAACCATATCTGCTTACCAAAAATCAGATTTCCTATTCTGGAGCCATATCTGCTTACTATAGTTCAGATTTCCTGTTCTGGAACCATATCTGCTTTCTATAGTTCAGATTTCCTATTCTGGAACCATATCTGCATACTATAGTTCAGATTTCTTATTCTGGGACCATATCTGCTCACTATAGTTCAGATTTCCTGTTCTAAAACAAAATCTGCATACCATGGTTCAGATTTCCTATTCTGGAACCGTATCTGCTTATCATAGTTCAGATTTCCTATTCTGGAACCGTATCTGCTTATCATACTTCAAATTTCCTATTTTGGAACCATATCTGCTTGTGCTTACTATACTTCAGATTTCCTATTCTGGAACCATATCTGCATGTGCTTTCTATTCTTCAGATTTCCTATTCTGGAACCATGTCTGCATGTGCTTACTATACTTCAAATTTACTGTTCACAAACTATATCCATGAAATCTCTCAACGTACATGTAGTAGGTTCAGTCGTACATTTCAAGCTCTTGTCACATCGAAAAATATTTTAGTTGTTTCCAGAGTTGAGATTTTTAAAATAGAGCCTGATCAGATTGGCTGGAAACATAAATAAATTTAGCGAGCGCGAATTTTTTGGCATATAGGGGCGTAACTCCTATTTATCCATATCAGGTCCGGACTTCCAGGTTTATCAGTGGAAGTCTTTATTTTTTGTTCAGAAGAAATCTAGAGGATAAAGGAGCTTTGGTGTACTTCAACAAAACTAACCAACTACCATGTGTACTTTCCTCGCAGCTGACAAGGTACAGGTACAGGTACAGGTGCAGGTACAGGTACAGGTACAGGTACAGGTACACGTAAAGGTACAGGTACAGGTTCAAATACAGGTACAGGTACAGGTACAGGTACAGGTACAGGTACAGGTACAGGTACAGGTACAGGTACAGGTACAGGTACAGGTACAGGTACAGGTACAGGTACAGGTACAGGTACAGGTAAAGGTACAGGTACAGGTACAGGTAAAATCTCTTGTTCAGGATGTTAGCCTATAAGCTTGATATAGTAGCACCGACTGATATTATAGTAACAGCTGATGTTGATGCTTTTATTGAAACCCCTGGTATACTAGAACCTCTTAACCAGGTACAGGAAAGTATTTCAGAATTATCAATTCCTTATTATTAAAACATTTAGACTATTTAAACAATAAGAAATCTGGTCAACAAGGACTTGAACATTTAATCTGAACAACCTTTTACTAACTATCGGAAACTATTTTGATGTAGCAGAATTCATAGTTTAAAATATGAACATTTTTTTTACATATTTACCTATTTTAAGTTAAAACAAAAATCGTCATTAGATCTTTCCCTATTTTGAAAAAAGAGTATGTTACCATCCACACATAGTTCCCTCGTTCCTTTCCAATTAAATTTATCCTCAAGTGTTTTTATTATGATCAAATCTTCAATAATTAAATGTGTCACTGACATAGGGTATCCCCATGATCATGAAAAATTGAGTGACGGCTTAGAGATAAATGATAATTTAAAACTTGTTTGTCTATCAAAGTCGTAGTCACTTAAAGGGACAGGCCGGCTAAGTAAGGTAGTTAAACTGAGTATGCAGTGTTGTGGACGAATTCTCTAGGGTTCATTTAAGAAATATTAAACTTTTCCACGATGTATAACTACTGAGCTGAGTTTGAGTGCATAATCGACGTTCAAAACCGTGAATTTGGGTGGGTACATTTTCAGAATCGGTTTTTTAGATTTAAAAAAAACGACGACGAAAAATAAAGCAAAAAAAATTATACAGTAAACTAATTGAATGGTTAGGAACATAGTTCTCAAAAGAAATTTTTCAATAAATCAATGATAGAATCAATTTTTTTCCTATTCATCATTTTCTCATTTTCTATGAATTTATTCGCAGTTTTCTACAAATTCTTCAAATGTCGTCTTTTCAGTAATAATTCCAGAAAATCTGCAGAAAATCTTTGTGAATAATGAGAAAATAGAAACCAATAACTGAATATGATTACTTATTTTCGATGATAAGAGTTAATTTTTATTTTCTCAACCTGTTCCTAAACAACTAATGAGTTTACTGTAGAATTTGTTTACTTCTGAAAACGTATTCACCCAAAAGTACGATTTTAAACGTCGACTTTGCGCTCAAACTCAGGATTTACAGATCTTTAAAAAGTTTTATATGTCTCAAATGAATCCAAAAGAATTTGGCCACTTCTACTTTTTCTTAGCCGAAGACAGTTTGGATTTGGCAGCATGCATATACAGTAGAATTCGGATACACCTTTGCAATGAGTTTTATCGCAGCAACCAGGTTAACAAACTTTTAGATCATATCAATTTTACAATAAAATCTTTAAATCATATCAATTTTACAATAAAATCTTTAAATCATATCAATTTTACAATAAAACCTTTAAATCATATCAATTTTACAATAAAACCTTTAAATCATATCAATTTTACAAGCAAACCTTTATTTTATAAATCGAATCTCCTATTTTTTAAATCAAACCTCCATTTGAAAACAAAATATTTGAAATCATATTCTAATATTGAAAGAAATTCACTAGTACTTTTTAACATGTTTATTTTAAATCATTAGTCCTGCTTTAGGAAATTGAATATTTTATTTATTTTTAATATTTTTTTAAAGTTTTTTTTATACATGGGAACTCTGAGGAGATCTAAGCCAAATGTCTCTTTTTTTAGTTTAATTTGGAGAGATATACTGGGAACCCAGGAGATTTAAATGAAATATCTCATTTTTTAGTTTAATTTGGAAAGATATACTGGGAACCTAGGATATTTAAACTAAATATCTCATCTTTTAGTCTAATTTGGAGAGATATACTGGGAACCTAGAATATTTAAACTAAATATCTCATCTTTTAGTTTAATATGGAGAGATATATTGGGAATCCAGGAGATTTAAACTATATATCTCATTTTTTAGTTTAATTTGGAGAGATATACTTGGAACCCAGGAGATTCAAGCTATATATCTTATTTTTTAGTTTAATTTTTGAGAGATAAACAGGAGATTTAAAATAAATATCTCATTTTTTAGTTTAATTTGGAGAAATACACTAGGAGCCAGGAGATTTAGACTAAATATCTTATCTTTTAGTTTAATTTGGAGAGATATACAGGAGATTTAAACTAAATGTCTAATTTTTAGTTTAATTGGAGAAATATACAGGAGATTTAAACTAAATATCTCATTTTTTTAGTTTAATTTGGAGAAATATACAGGAGATTTAAACTAAATATCTCATTTTTTTGGTTTAAGTTAGAGAGATATACAGGAGATTTAAACTAAATATCTCATCTTTTAGTTTAATTTGGAGAGATATACTGGGAACCTAGGAGATTTAAACTAAATATCTCATTTTTTAGTTTAATTTGGAGAGATATACTGGGAACCTAGGAGATTTAAACTAAATATCTCATCTTTTAGTTTAATTTGGAGAGATATACTGGGAACCTAGGAGATTTAAACTAAATATCTCATTTTTTAGTTTAATATGGAGAGATATACTGGGAACCTAGGAGATTTAAACTAAATATCTCATCTTTTAGTTTAATTTGGAGAGATATACTGGGAAACCCTGCAGATCTAAATGTAATGTCCAAACAGTATGAATTTAGAAAAACCGAGGAAAATACCAATTAAATAATAAAATTAATATAATATTTAAATCTCAATATCTTTGCAACCTGTTCTTTTGAACCTTTGATATTTCAAATTATGAATTTTGTCAAATAGTCAAAGTTTAAAAATTCAAATGTTTAAACCATCAGGCGCAAAGATATTGGGATAAGAAAGTAATAGTTCTCTGCGATCAATAAGTTTCTTAGACTTTCATATAACTTAAATTACCAAAAAGAACTCAATTCTGAGCTGGAAACTCTTGTATTGTGGATATCAAGATCAAAGCTTGATCTTGATTAAATGTTAATCTACAGATTAATTTAATATTAATTTGATAGCCCGCATGGCAATCGTGCCTAGTTGAAGGGAGCTTTGATCAGGAGAGAAAAAATTGAAATGAAAATGTTACGCAGTTATCCTTAAATAAAAGTGCCCAGAGCGGAAATCGAGATCAAGGGATGTTTTGAATAGGATATATCCTGTTTTTGGATTCTTTATATCCTTTTTGGATACTGTACATCCTGTGTTGGATGCTATATATCCTGCTTTGGATTCTGCATATTCTGTTTTGGATTCTGTATATCCTGTATTAGATTCTGTTTATCCTGTTTTAGATTCGTATATCCTGTTTTAGATTCTGTATATCCTGTTTTAGATACTATATATCCTGTTTTAGATTCTGTATATCCTGTTTTAGATTCTGTATATCCTGTTTTGGATTATGTATATCCTGTTTTGGACACTATGTATCCTGTTTTAGATTCTGTAAATCCTGTTTTGTGCCTTAAGTTTCCGACCCTAAAAAAGAATTCTAATATCCTATAGGGTATACTTTAGTAAAGTATACAAGTACAGTACTAAAGAAAGTATCAATATGAACCAGGTTTTGGGAACAAAAGTTGCATGCTTGTGGGGTTAGAAAACTTTATAGATGTAATTATATAAAATTGTTTTACTTGGAAAGCTTTTTTGATTTTAAGTTCTGGTTTCTTTAATATTATTTTTATTTTAATGATATTTTCGGCTCAGGGGAGTGTTCACTAAGTAAATATAATTTTTAAAAAATTCTAAATTTTTTTTTCAGCCCCAAAGATAGTTTTCAAAACAGAAATTTAAATGAAAAATATTTTCCTCCGAAAATATCCTTGGGAATGATTTTTGAGATTCTTCAAGTATGTCCTACGTAAAAATAGAAAACCCCGGCAACCATTATTTGCAACTTTTATTCACTGGAGGTGAGGGGAAACTAATTCTAGATTAATTTTTAAATCTGATATCAAAGACCTTTAAAAGTGAATTTTTTACACCATAAGGTTGGTAAAAAGTAGGGATTAAAAGATTAGTGTTTGACATAGTTATTAAGTTTCTTTGTAAAGTTTACATCAAGTTGATCTATTATAATCTCCTTGGGAGACTTGAAAGAATAAGCTTAACTTCTTTCGTCATTTTTAAGTTCCCATTCATTCCCATCTCATTTTGAATTGGTCGCGTGTCTGTATCATACTGTAGTCTGTAGACTGTAGACAGTAAACTGTAGACTGTAGTCTGTAGACTGTAGACAGTAAACTGTAGACTGTAGACTGTAGACTTTAGACTGTAGTCTGAAGACTGTAGATTGTAGACTGTAGATTGTAGACTGTAGACTGTAGACTGTAGACTGTAGACTGTAGACTGTAGACTGTAGACTGTAGACTGTAGACTGTAGACTGTAGACTGTAGACTGTAGACTGTAGACTGTAGACTGTAGACTGTAGACTGTAGACTGTAGACTGTAGACTGTAGACTGTAGACTGTAGACTGTAGACTGTAGACTGTAGACTGTAGACTGTAGACTGTAGACTGTAGACTGTAGACTGTAGACTGTAGACTGTAGACTGTAGACTGTAGACTGTAGACTGTAGACTGTAGACTGTAGACTGTAAACTGTAGACTGTAGACTATAGACTGTAGACTGTAGACTGTAGACTGTAGACTGAAGACTATAGACTTCAGACTGTAGACTGTAGTCTGTAGTCTGTAGTCTGTAGTCTGTAGACTGTAGATTGTAGACTGTAGACTGTAGACTGTAGACTTTAGTCTGTAGACTGTAGACTGTAGACTGTAGACTGTAGACTATAGTCTATAGACTATAGACTATAGACTGCAGACTGTAGACTGTAGACTGTAGACTGTAGACTGTAGACTGTAGTCTGTAGTTTGTAGACTGTAAACTGTAGACTGTAGACTGTAGACTGTAGACTGTAGACTGTAGATTGTAGACTGTAGACTGTAGACTGTAGACTGTAGACTGTAGACTGTAGACTGTAGACTGTAAACTGTAGGCTGTAATCTGTAGACTGTAGACTGTAGTCTGAAGACTGTAGACTATAGACTGTAAATTGTAGACTGTAGACTGTAGACTGTAGACTGTTGACTATAGACTATAGACTATAGACTATAGACTGTAGACTGTAGACTGTAGACTGCAGATTGTAGAATGTAGTCTGTAGTTTGTAGACTGTAGACTGTAGACTGTAGACTGTAGACTGTAGACTGTAGACTATAGACTATAGACTATAGACTATAGACTGCAGACTGTAGACTGTAGACTGTAGACTGTAGACTGTAGACTGCAGATTGTAGAATGTAGTCTGTAGTTTGTAGACTGTAGACTGTAGACTGTAGACTGTAGATTGTAGACTGTAGACTTTAGACTGTAGACTGTAAATTATAAAGAAACCAGATGTTCAATGTAATAAAAGAGAGGATCGAAGAATGTAATCAAAGATTACAAATTTTTAATAACGAATTTGTTTATAACGCTCTCAGCCTCAGCCAGGTTCTCTGCTTCCCTAGCTAAGCCCAAAGAATTAAAACTGGTTTCGTGAATGGGATAAAATACTTCTATTGATATCAAAACTTAAACCCAAAAAAGGAAACTCAGAAGTGTCATTTTCAACGTTCTCTCTAAAATTTTCATCTCATGGGGGTTTAATTTAAGTCATCGGACAGCGGTCTTATAGCAGCTAAAAGTTTACGCCTCATGTGTATTTGTTTTTAGTATAAAATTGGTGTTTTATTCAAAAGGATTCTATCAGTTGGGGTATAGACCAGCTAATAGTAAGTATACATTTATTAAAAAATATATATAAATATAGTTTTCTATCTGTCCAGTTCATAACGGTTGAAAAGGCCCAATTTTTGCGTGGAGCCAAGAGTCGTGCCAGGATAAAGAATTTCGCGGTTTTTCTAAACTAATAATTGGATTTTCAAAATCTTCTAAAAATCTTTTTTTTTTGAAGTTAAACGTTGTTTTTCAAACCGAAATAAACCTTTCCTGGGGTGCCACAAAAAATGAAAATTATAAAGTCGTTTTGCATACAAAAAAACCCCAAAAAAACTTTAAAGGTGAGTCGGGGAATCCTTAACTCTGGCCTCTGCAGTTTACCCAGTCAAAACTCTCTCTGGAAAACTCTTGATCTATCCGTAGCCGCTGAGAGGTAAAGGATTTAGAAAAAAAAACTAAGTTTAATATTTAAAAATAAATTATTAAAGAAAATATGAAGAAAGTTGCTGGAAAGGAAGTAGAATCTGGGATAACTGCAATAAAAATCGACATTTAAGGTGAGGCAACATAACAACTATTGTAAAGTGGAATGAGAGGTCGTCCTTATTTAATCTTTTTATTAGAATTGTAGCAAAGGTTGTGTAATTTGTACCAGTTCTGAGTTCTACATGCAATCTTTTAGAATGTTAATTACACATTTACAGTGTTACAACAGTTACGGTTACAAAATCATATTTATTAATTTAAAAAGACCGATTTTGTTCTGCTTTGTATAATGAACTGTGTAAGTTCTGAAAAGATTTAATGATTTAATTATGCTATACATTTAGTTAATTAATCCTATATTCTTTTTTTTTCTCTAGGATAATTTATCTCAACTTCACTTGATCACACTTTTTTGGCTCAAAATATAAATAACACCCGCCAAATGTCGTAGCGCCCATTTATTAATTATTTGATAAGTTTATTAATCTGTTAAGTGTCTGTTATTGGTGGCATTTTCATCCTGATGACAGGATTGAAGAACTTGAGAGGAAATACAGGTAAACAATTATATACAGGGTTACCCACAAAACAAGACAGCCATTTATGACTTGATTGGTCCTGCTACAAATCATATGTCGTGTAAAAAAAATGCATGATTGTGATTTTTGTTTTTGAAAAAATAATAAAAATAATACTAATAAAAAACATGAAAACATATTAATAACTTTTGTTTCAAGGGATCTAAACACCCCTTTAGCTAGGCAGCATAATACTGCGCAAAATATTGACACAGGCTTATTTTTTTCTTATACTTCTAAAATTCATATTTTCTTGTCCATTGTCATTTGTGATAAATGAAGCATGGTATAAAAAGTTTATAGTGTCGTAACTTTTACATAAAATCCAAACTATTGGGATCCCAATCAACTAATGTTCAAGATATTGGGATTAGGCTTGGTTTGGGAATAAGGTATATGAATAAGATAGAACCAATTGGGAGTAGGTAAAAAAGGTTGGGAGTTGGAAAGGATATAAACTAAAGAGGAAGTTGGGATTGGGATGGAAATCAGCTGTGAGAAATTAGGGATTAGGAATAAATGAGAGCTAGAAAACGTTTTGATTTCGGGAAATGTGAGTGGTGCGCGGCATTCTTAGATTATTGCGCAAGCGACAAGGGAAATAATCAAATTTAAAACAAATTAATTAATAAATATTAAAAAATATAAACTATTTAAAAATGTGGCGAAAGATAATCGATGACTAAAGGTTGTAATATCTGAATGATTGTTTGAATTTAAATTGATTTTTTACGGTCTTAGTCGTACGTTGCAATTTTCTGAATTTGTATGGGCACTAAGTTATTCAGTATGAGACGTCTTTAACAATTTTCTCCTTATAGACGCAACAGATAGAAGTTAGATTAGTAGCGATCAAAAGCGCTTTTTTATCGCATTAAGCCTATACCCCCTTTCATTTTTCGCGAACACTCCCTTTAATATAAAGATAATACTATCATTTGTTCCAGGACGTTGATAACACGTATTTCAGAAAAGAAATATAAAGAATCAAAGTGAAAACTTTTGAGTTGATAATTCAATTTTTGAAAAAACAAAAATAATTTATTTTTATTTCAGGGAAATTCTACAAGCTTCCTCGATGCATAAATAGCTTCATCACTGTGATAAATCAGTATTTTATTTATATGATGCATTGCAACTTGGGAATTTTAATGTACTGTCAACAGATGTGACCCTTCAATTTAAAACTGGCTTGCCCGATTCGCAGCATTGCACTTTAAACCTTTATTTATGCAACAACACGTGTTGAGATATGTCAATTTGATTATATGTCTCTCAACTGCATAAATATCCTATTCATTTTTTGAGATAAATTACAACTGAAAAGATTTAAAATAATGAATTTTCAGCTGGAATAAAAACAAAATATCTTCATGTTTTTATCAGACTGAGTTCTACAGGGTATTTATGATAATCGAGTATGTATTTTTGTAAATGGAGGGTCACTTTAAATTTAATCAAACAGTCTCTTTAAGAACTTTATTATCCAAAACTGAAACCAAAAAGGAGAATGTGAAATAATGCAGTTGAATTGAATTTTAATGGCATTCCTTAATGTTACATTTAGAACCGATTAACTATTTAATTTTCTCCCCATATTATAATCTAAAAGGGAGTGTTCACTTATTTGAATTCAGGGTCACATTTCCCTTTGATATGAATATCTAGGTCCAAGTTGTTGCTTTAAAGAAACCTAGGCTGTGTCTCTTGCAAGGTACTAACGCAAGGAAAGTTATTTCAGAGGTGTACGCATTTTTTGTACTGCAGTGTATTGTCTTTGGGCGGAAAAGTAAACACAAGACGGATGTCACAGCCTGACATGGGATCCATTTTTACAAAAATAATCAATGAAATATTCTAGTCATAGGAATTTTTATGTGTATTTTCAAAATTAAATGCTTTAATCCTTCTCGCAAATAGACGAACACTGATGCATCTATTCTTGTTTACAAATTACGCCCAGAGAGAACTGGTTTCAATATGTACGCAGAGTACACGCGACCGCAATTAATTTTCCTTGCATTAATACCTTGGTCTCTTCTAATTCATTCTATGATTTAGTTTAATTAAAACAGAATGCACTTATACGATAGTGTTACCTGTGAGCTCCTCCAGTTCCAATATTGCGTTAGAGAGAAACAAATTCATCAATGTAGTTAAATACGATAGTGTTACCTGTGAGCTCCTCCAGTTCCAATATTGCGTTAGGGATAAACAAATTCATCAATGTAGTTAAATATAAGAAATTCAAAACTTTATAACAATCCTCAATCATTGAAATCGTGTTAAGTTTCAATTTTGCAAGAAATTTTGTGCAGTACTCTGTTGTACGAACTATAAAGGTTGGCTCCTGGTGTATCTTTGTAAGACATTATATATGACATTAAGAATTGTCATTCTGTTAAATGTTAACGTGATCTCACAAACTCTATTATACATTTTTTGTGCACTTTAAGAATAAATCTACATTATTGTGTCTAGATTTGACAAAAAAGTGAATCAGGGTTTGTTTAAATTATCCTCAATACAGTGGAACCAGTAAAACTTTGAAATGGGTAGATGACATTTAAACTTAAATAGTTTAACCAGATGCTTAAAAAAAACTTATTTCGTAAGATGGGTCTGTTTACAGTGCAATTGGCTGTGTTTCATTTTAATCAACACATTGCAAATCATAATTTATGACGAACAGTTTTTCAAAGTTTTATTGGTTTTATGGTAATGATCTCTATATATAATAAAATAATATAAATATCACCATTGTTGAATTTTATTAAATACTATTTTAGAATAAATACTTTTTATCCTGAAAATATAAAAATAGAAACCTGATTGGGGTGGTTCCCAGCACCATAATGTGTCTCTTGTACGCTATATTTTCTCTAAAATAATGATGGTTTGTCCTGCTGCTATTGTGCGCATACTACTTGATGAAAGAGTGAAAGAAGTGATTTTCAATTCACAGATATTCAGAGACCGGGTCGACGGTGAAGTGTCACAACCCATTGACTTTTTGTTTTACATAATAACACACTCATATATACTTTGCTTTTAGATGTATAAACTGTGACGCGCTAATTTGTAGCTATAGTCTCACTCTTCGCTAAAACTAGTTTAGGGTAGTCTAAAAGGAATATTTGACAAAATGCAGATAGTTTATTGCAATGGTATCCTTCAATCTATTATCTGAGAGACCATCCAATAAAACTTGAATTTTTTTTCTTGCTTTTTGTAAACTTTTAAATTCAAAAGGACATAGGTGTTTCAAATATTGTTTCTTGAAGGTTTACATGGAATCGTTGTAAATTGTAAATTGTATTACTATGGGTATAAGATGGCTAAAATATAACTAACCTAAACATTGAGTCTGTACCATGTAGATAATCCAGTATACCGAGAACCCCGTAGCATTGGGTGAACTTTAGATGATGGAAATCATGCGACTACAAGTAAAAAACATATTCCACACGTAGCGTTGAATTTTTGTACGATGAGGTTGTGGAAAAGACTCGATTTTTTTGAATATATATAATTTTTTAAGTTCCTAACAATTCTAAATAAAACAACTTTAAGTCACGCAATGTGAATATTTTTGCCTCGTTTGATGGGAAGAAGGGCAGATGGTATCCAGAATGGGAGTTTAGAGTATTTGTAAGCGCCAGGTTAAACCAAAGCCAGAATACAGATATATGGGATCCGAATATTAGAGGACCTGAAAATATAAAGATAATTAATATTATAAAGTGACTCTCTTGTGGCATTTCAGATTCACAACAGTAGCCTTAAACGCTGTGCATGATTAAAAATGAAAGAAATATCCCTGTTCATTTCTTTAATAACTGTATGTTTTAACTGTGGCTTCTCTACTAAAGTTTAGCACGCTTTTCTGCTACAGAAACAATGGAGAATATCATAAGAATCAAACAAATTTCAATCTAGAAAAACGATTACATTTTCCACATAGTTGATCAGATAAGGGTTTAAAGTACCTTTGTGAATCAGGTGTGTCCATATTTTAATGTAGGGGCACTAGAAATTACATGGACAGTTTTTTTAAAAACCGGAAGTAGATTTAAAAGTTTTTACTTAGAGCAACCGGAAGTATATTTGAAAGTTTTTACCTAAAGCAACCGGAAGTAGATTTGAAAGTGTTTACCTAAAGCAACCGGAAGTAGATTTGAAAGCACGTGTTCTAGAGGATGCGAGTACAGAGATGTGAACGCAACTGCTGCAGTCCATTCATGATGCTTCTTATGAATATACTTGTAAACACTGAAAACAGGGGTTAATCAGTAAAGTCAATTATGACATTTTTTTTTAAATAAGGGTTAAAATAAAATTTTTAAAGATTTTAATAATTATTTTGAACCAGAATAAAAGCAATAGACTACAGTTTCAGAATCTTTTTGTTTACTAAAAAGAAACATATTCATTATCTATTTATTAATTAAAAGTATTTTTATACATTTTAATTGTTTCCACAAGACTCTAAATAAAGCAGCAACGACGTATATATTTCTTTAAGAATGCTATTAACACAATGACGGATTTAGAGCCATTATAAAGAAAATGGAAACAACATTTTGGCTGATTTTAGATTTGGGATTAACATGCAATTCATGGCATACTTGGAAGAAAGTGGACACCAAATGCAATTTAAATTTGACGACTTTGAGACAAAATGAACAATGCATATTTTTGATTATAACATTTTTTACAGTTGAATGGTAAGGTTCTATAAAAAAAAGATACCTTTTATGGTGAAGTGCCCAGTGTATATAGTAGAAAAGGACTTCTTCAATAAGAAGGAACCCTATGAGCTCCAATACTACTATATGGAATTCAGGAAGCACCCTGTAAACATACAGTTAGTTCTGGTTTTAAAGTGTTTTTATAGAGTGGCATGTCTGATTCACAGCGGTACCCTTCAAAGCTTTGTCCAATAAAAATGAACGAGGCATCCATAATTACTTTTTGAAATTGGATATTTTTAATATTGTTTTCTTTATTAAGGTGACTTTTAGATGTCTTGCTACAGAAACATTGGACGAAATTTTGGTAATTGAACACTTTTTAAGTTAAGAAATCGGCGATATCTTTAACACGACCACGATATTGACGTATTTCAGGTGTTTAGAAACTTAAACCATATAATAAATCTAAGAAGCCTTTTCTCATTTAAAACCTAAAACGCTTATTTATTTCAAAAGGACCCCTTAAAATGGATATCAAAATGCATTCTACAAAAAACGTTTATAAACGTTTTTGAACCGTCTCTCAACCTGACCCAAATTTAGTAAATTTGGTCCCCCATAGATTTTAATCATTCTATTCATTTTAAAATATATAATATATATAGATATAAATATTTAAATTATAAATATGTTGGAATAACCTGATATCCTGAATACCTCTCCACTCGACTGCTTAAGAATACTTTAATAGTTAAGTACTTTTTCTTGATAGAATTTGTCTTGCTTGTTTGGTTGAAAACATCATAACAAATTGTTATTTTTCAACTATTTCAGATTATTTTTTCCCTGGTTGAACAATACGTCACGTATCAGTTTCCTAAAATTAAACTTTTCTAAAGCTTTTAAAATATAAAACTTTGACATATTGCTCCAACAGAATTTATAGTTCTAAACATCAAAGGTCTAAAAGGTCAGGTTGCAAACATATAAGGATTATCAGTTCCTTTCAACAAATTTCACAGATGGGATCGACAAAAGAAGTAGTCGTCATGCTTTTTGCCTTAAATGGCTAATTTTTTATTTTAACAACTGCTGAGGGTAAACTATGGGTGAATTTTCTCCAATTATTTAAATTAAAATGGTGTTTATACGGACAGCGAGCTCAGATTGAGCCGAGTGGACAAATTAAAAATAAGCAAATACAACAAGTATACTGGAGAACTGATTACTCGCTATAAAATCAAATATGGTTGATTTCACTTAAAATTGTATTTAATGTTTCAAGATTTAGGCCGGCGCTCAATTGAAACCGGTTTTTGGCAGATTTGAGACGCAGGTCAATTTCATTATATTCGGTCTCTGATGGAATATTTAAACAATCGAAGGTTGCAAAGAGTATGCAACCTACAGTAATAACTATTTTTTTGCGATTTTTTTTATTCAAAGATTTACCAGAATTTCTTCATATCAATTGGTTCATTGGTTCCAGGCTGAACCTAAAATATTAATTTAGTTTTTTGATAAATATGATATTTCTTGATTGGACATTCGCAACGATATTAATTCATAATTAGAACAAACCAATATTTTTTATTGGGTGGGAGGGGGGGGGGGGGGAAAGGAAAGCCTTTTATTTTTCTGCAATCTCTTGATGGTTTCTTTTCACTCAATAATGCTATTTTTCCACAGGCTAATAAAAGTTCTTCATTGGAAAAATTCTAAACTTTATTTATTTGATGCCTCGTAATAAATTGGAATTGTTTACAATAAAGATGGGGATTGTTTATCCAAATTAAAATATAATTTAAGTTGTCGATCAGAAAATTGCTTTGATTCAAGAATAACTAAAGACGACGTTTAATCACGTTTAAAAGGAATGCTTCGTCTAATTGATTACCTTGTACTGCCTGTGTGCTAGACTTAGATCAAAGTATGTGTAAATACTTCCAACCTGAAATTAAATTGTCGTATTTTCTCCTGAGTGGGATATATTTAGACCTTTTTCTTGCTGCATAAGTTTACAACCGTTTCATTAAAAGGACTGTTTAAAAGTGTTTAAATTCTTTAAATGACGGGTCAATTTAAATTATAATAAACAGTCCCTTACATATACATTTTTTACTGTGAAATATACCAAATTAATAAAGAAAATATCAATATAGCTACTTTGCTTGTCTGTCTGTTTGTATCAAATAAACGTCAAAACGGCTAAACCGACCGGGCCCAAAATTTTGTGGGACCTCGCGTGACCCCAGTGAAGGTTTATAAATGATCAAATTTTAAATATTTGCTTCTAACAAAATTCGCTTTTTGAAAATCCACGAAATTTTTATAAAATCCGCGAATTTTTCTCTTTTGTTTTACAATGTATTCGAAAAGACAAAATGTTTACAAATGAAATAGATGATGGGCGCGAAGCCTATGTTAGAAAAATTTGACTTACCGACCAGAATACAAGATTGTTTAAGATATAGGTCCCAAACACTTAAAAATATACAATTCTAGCGATATCATACTTATTTTATTTTCTAGCAGAATGATTTAGAATAATAAATTGAATTATGTTTTACTTTTGAAAATTAAATGTCAAGTTATTTGAATTATAATTTCCGAAAAGTGTGTAGGGGTCGTCGCCAGTTCTTTATCAGAAAATAGTTAATTCATAGTAAATGAAAACAAGATTTTCTAATTTCTATTATTTGATCTTTTTAACAATATTTTTCTTTATTTTAACTTTGCATGGTTTTGGTATCATTTAGCAACACTAATATTGTAATTAAAAAAATGTAATTTTCATAATTTTCATGATTAACTATAGGTCCCTGTCAATCAGTTTGTCCCAAAGGTTCTGCCACAGATGCTCTCTGAAACCTCCCCAAATCCTAAAAATATGAATGGTAAATTTCTTCTGAATTTTTTTTGAAAAAGTTTCCTCCAACTGTTAACAATACTCTCGCCTGCATAGATTAACTCCCCCCCCCCCAAAAAAAAAGGTATTTGATAATATCAAAAAAAGTGTGTTGAAGTCATCTTGTATTTTCCCTCCTACATTTTACAAATTTGACGAAAAACTTAGAAAAATCCTGAGAGTGGTTGGTGACGTGTTTTTTAGTGACTCTTCAGGTATATGTCTGCTTCCATCCAGTATCAATTCAACCTTTTTCTAAGCGAAAATTTTGGTGTGATCCTTGTTTTTCTTTCTGAAAATTTATAATTTTCAATTGCAATTTCTTTTTCTGCCGAATTATGAACTAAAGACAAGGTATAAAAATGAAAGAACAGAGAGAGAAAAGATATCTTTCTCATTGCAACGCAGGTTTAACAGATACAGTTGTGAATAGGACATGTCACTTCCTAAATTTGAAGGTTCGCTTAAAATAACGTGAACAGTCCCTTAAGAAATTACCTGGCAAGGTGCCATGTTAATGAATTCCTAATACATATTGTAACAAGAACTATAGAACCAACTACAAACAGGGCCTTCACTGCTGCTCCCTTCAACCCGGAAATTCAGAAAAAGAGGGAAAACTGAGGTTTCACAAAAAACGTATTCTTTTCCAGGAATGTCGATTTACTTGTTTTAGTTTCTTTAATGTCTTAAGCATCAACAAACCTTACAGATGTTTTACGCCAATAGGTCAAATGAACTTACATTAAAGGTGAAAATATTTCAACGAAAGATCCTTTGTGCACCAGATCAAACTTTAAAGTTTCAAATTAGAGGCAACTGCATTTATTAAAAGATAAACTTAAAAAATCAAAACTCCTATACCAATAAGCGATTTAAAAAGAATAGATCATAGGAGAAGGTAGATTTTTCATTTTTTGTATTATTATTATTATTGTTATTGTATTATTACCGCTGATTAGAGTTCATTTATCTGATTTTCGATATTTTAAAAAGTGTTTGATTTAAGGCTTACAAACTAATTGGTTTTGATACTCAGACAACATCTAAAAAAAAGTTTTTGCTTATAATTAAATTTATTTTCAAGGGATTTTTACGATCTTCAAGTTTCTGATCTCAGTGTTTCAAGATTACTATTTTCATACCCATTTTTATTCATTTTGTCAATTTTTTTTTCGGACAATTTACACAAAAAATGCAAAAATCTGAATGAGTTTAAAAATTATGAAGAAAAAGTTATTAAACTTTTTTACCTTTTTTAAAGAAAACTTGATAACTGATGCAAGGTGGATTTTGGCATTTTACCATAAAAGGTGGCTCATGCTTTCACTCTTGCGTACATTGGTCACTATTTTACAGTTAATCATAATGTTGAGTGGAAAAAATGGGGAAATTTTATATTATTTGCTGGAGTAATTTGATTATTTACATATAAAACAAAAAGATTGGTTAAAGTTATTTGATAGCAACAGTTTCGGTTGGTAACAAGGAGAAAAGGAAAAATCCCAGTATAAGAGTACAGTATGTATTTTATTATTCAAGTTTTGTTTATGATTTTGTTTATCAGTTATTACGCCTAAAATACACAATTTAAACAAGGGAGATAAGATTATGTAAAATTTATTCAAAGGGAACAATGTACTTTGTTAACTGCAATTTTACCAAAAACTAAATATTACGTTATGCCGGGATGCCATGCACTTAAATAGTAATACACATTTTTAACTTAAATGGTAATACACCTATTGATATTTGGTTGTCAAGATATAAAAATCAGAGTTTTTGACAAAGACTCAGTTTCTTTGAGAATAAATAAGTAGCTTATGTGCAGCAGCAAGATGAGTTTTGTTTGCAGAGAACTTTGCTTAAAAAAAATTTAAATCAAAAATAAATTGCTAAAAAGATTTGTAGAGATGGGTATCTCATACATATATATGAGATGATGGGTATCGTTTTTGAGTCTTTTTTGAACTTAAAGATTTATTTTTTAGTTTTTAGAGGAACACAATAATCTGTGATGGATTTTATTAAACAAAATGTCTGTTTTAAAAGTTATTGTTATTTTCTCTGTCAAAAGATGGATTTAAATTTCCAAAATTATACAGTGAGAACCAGAAAACTTGAATATTTTAAAGCGTTTTTACCAGTCCCCAAAAACTACACCCAACCTTCAGTGAAATTTAGTGTTATAAAGTAAATTAAAAACTGAGATCATGGTACAAAAGAAGAAAACAAAACAGACTTCAATATTCTGAAAAAGATTTTAAAATCTGACATGATTTTTGATATTTTGAGATATATTTTATTTTGTGAATTTTTCCTGAAGCGCAGAAAGGCTCGGTGCTGTCAGGAATCCATCAGTCTGTTCCTCATCATCCTAAAAAGGAAAAAAATGGAAAACAAAAACAAAACAGAAAAAACCACTGAGGTACAGATCATGTTTTACATTGTTGGGAATAACTTTTTTCAAAATTTTAAAAAGTTCCAAAACAAATTTGAGAAAGTTTCAATTATTTTAAGCTGTATTCTACTTACAATGAAGAAACAAGTCTAGTGCCATTTACATTTTACAGGAAACAATTTTTAAATGTTTAAATATGTTTTACCTCAGATGCCTTTTCAATGTTTTGATTCTCTTTGTTTTGTAAACAAGGTTTCATTCCTTCATCTTCAACTTTACTTTTCATTGTAAATCTCTAAATATAGTTTTTAATCTTGAAGTAAATTCAGTTATTTGTGGATTTCACTTTAAAGGATTTAAAGTCAGCTGAGGAACACTGTGAAATCACACATACCAACACTGTGAAATCATATCGTCCCAAACACTGTGAAATCACACGTACCAAACACTGTGAAATCAGATCGTCCCAAACACTGTGAAATCACACGTATCAAACACTGTGAAATCAGATCGTCCCAAACACTGTGAAATCACACGTACCATGAACACTGTGAAATCAGATCGTCCCAAACGCTAAACTTTTAAAATCTTTAAATCTTGTCAAAGACCATGATGGTATACTAGGGGGCGGGGGCAATGGATGCTCAGTCCCCCTGTGATCCGTTTACGGTTTCCAGGGGGTTTCAGGCCCCAAAGAGTGCTGAGAAAAAAAAATCCTGTGTACGCCGGGCCCTTGTCAATTATATATTCCTTTGATATTTCAAACTAAGCATTTTTCTAGATCAATTAATTTTCGATTTTGTTTATACAGTTGTGAAGTTATAAATATTTGGTAATTTCCTAGAGAACGGTTTTTGGATCCCCCCCCCCCTATCAATTTTGTACATGGGTCTTACAGGAAGTGTCTTGACTTAACCTAACCCGTGGCCGCAGCGCTCGGCCCAGAAAGTGTCTTAACTAACCTAACCCGTGGCCGCAGCGCTCGGGCCCCTAGCCTGTCCTAGCCGCAGCGCTCGGCCCAGAAAGTGTCTTAACCTAACCTAACCCTAATTTATAATAAATTAATACTAATTTACTAATTTCGTCATGTACAAAATTGATAGGAGGGGGGGGGGCCAAAAATCGTTCACTAGGACAGACCCAAATATTTGCATCCGAAAATTTGAGTTTGCATGCATATTGATATAACATTTTTTATTTATATTTTGCCGTTGGGGCCTTAAAACCCCGTGAAAACCATAGATGTTACTTATAACATGGGGGGGGGGGGGGCTTGCTCCCATAGCTCCCTCCCTGACTACGCCTCTGAGAGACAAAATATGGCAATTCAAATTTAACTATAAAATTGATATGAACTGCAAAACAAAATGAAGATTGAACTTAAAGTTTTAAATCGACACCTTAAAAAGTCCTTTTATTGTTTAAACGATTTGGCAGAGAAAGTAGGAAGGGAGTTGAGAACTTAAAATCTATAGAGACCACGGCCTGTAACTTGTAAGTTGTATGCGTATGAACTATTACTGCAAAGCAAACTGCAGTGCATCTAGCATTGCATCCTCTTGCTTTATGTTATAAGAATTATAAGTTAACTGTTTCCCTGCCAGGCCCCTGATTCCAACTACGCTGCTTGATAAGGCTTAAGTAAAATATAAAATATAAGTAAACTTTGAACTATGAAATTTGTTCTATTTTAATGCACTATATTTGTGCGTCGAATAAAATCAATTCAACAAATCTAACAAATTTTTTCGAAAATCATAATTTTTTTGTTGCAAAATTTACTTTTGATTTAAATTGTTGTCTGGCAAACCTTAAAAAATAGTTCTGAAAGAAATTCCAGGGTCCGATTTCCAGGCAGATTTTAGGATCAGCTGTTTCTCTTTCTACTCTCTGCATTTCCTAGTTTTAAAATTTTTCTAACTATTTTGTACCGTCCCGCATTCTACTCCCCAAATGATTGGCCTGTACCGTCCTACCGGCTCAGCTGTTTGCAGACGTGTTTGTTTATTATTATTGGTCATTGGATTGGAGGATTTTCAATATACGCGTTGATCGAAATTCGAAATTTCCGTTTTAATGGACGGGTCTGTCCTAGTGAAAGATTTTTGGACCCCCCCGCGGGGCCCCTCCTATCAATTTTGAACATGACCAAATTAGTATTTGTTTAGTGTTATTTAGGGTTAGGTTAGGTTAAGACACTTTCTCTAGGAATATACCTAATGGACGATAAGTTATCTTTTTGTCTATATATGGATTTATATAATAACGTCACATTTGAACTTAAAAAGCTATAAATTCATATTTTGTGATTTAATTTTTTTCGTGAATGTGATTAATTAAGACTTAAAAGCGAATAATTATCATCAATAAGTTATTTTCAGAAAAAAAGAATGGTATCTCCTTAATTGTTAATTGAATTGAATACATAAAGGATGAGGGTTGTATTCCTTACCCTTTGTATTTGTGAAACTTGGCTACTGAGTTCTGGAGGCAAATTTAATCAATATGATCGAACTAAATTACACAAATACAGGTTGGCAATCATTTTTCATTTCAAATTTTGATATAAAGGAAATAAGGCTAGGGGGTCGAGCGCCGCGGTAGGGGTCAACTGATCTAACAGTTCTGTGCTCTATAGTTATGCGCGCGATTGAATTTACAATCAAGATTAGATATACGAATAATTACATTTTGAATCTTAACGACTATGATAATAGATGTCATTATTTTTATACTTTATTTTCTTTACAGGGAAGAGGTACGGTCGATGTTTACGCATGCGTACGATAGTTATTTGATTCATGCGTATCCTTACGACGAGCTCAGACCTTTAAGGTAATCGACAAAAGATTATAAAAGTAGATTGTTCACATATTTTAGCAAAGAATGAATATTTTTTCAAAACTTATATTTTATCTTTCACCAGAAATTTTGTTAAGGATGATTTAAAGAAATTTAAACATATATATTGTTTTGGCATAAAAAATATATTATTATTATAATAATTATTATTATTATTATTATTATTAATATTATTATTATTTATTGTCATGACACTAAATATTTTAAGCTGTGATGGAGTAGATACGTGGGGGAGCTACTCTTTAACCCTCATTGACGCTTTAGGTAAATCAAGTTTACTCTTTGCCTAAAGCAGATGTTATTTTATATTCATAATTTCGACATAGACGTGTCAGGACTGAACAATGTATCATAAACTTTCGATTTCTTAAGTCTCTTTTTCTTTTGACAAAACTATATTTTTTTACTTTCCAAAATCGAATTGATTAATTGATGGATTTGACTAAACTAGTGATTAATTGATTTGCTCGAGATGTTTATTGATTTCTTCGAACTAGATTCGTTGAAAAATCTATTGAAACAAACGTTTGTGAACTTCGAATTGAAAGTTCAAATGAAGTCTTACAATTTGATTTTAATAATTTTAAATTTAGATACCCTTGCCGTGATGGGAAACTTTACAGAGTTTGCTCGAGTTTATAATCTAGGAATAAAATATATACTTTAAAAAAAAACATCTAAAAATAATTATGACAGTTTTTCTCTTCTTTAAAAGGATTGTTTTGTCATAAGTATACCATAGTTAATCATCTAGGAATAAAATAAATACTAAAAAATTTGTTAAAACAAATTAATTTTTTATTGTTTCAAGTATATTTTCTGTTTAGTTTCACAACGGGAAAACTTTGATGCGAACATTAACGTTTCTGTGTTTGAAACCAACATCAGGATTGTTGGTATGATATAATCCCTTTAAAGTTAAAAAATTAATACAAAGGAATTGAGTCTTTACCACAAACTCGGATTTTTAAATCCCAATTTCTTTAAAACCAAATGTAGTACACCGTAGATATTTCAAACTATGAATTCTGGTGGATCAAACAATATAAGTTTGATATATGAAAGGTATGCATCATCTGGTTGTTGAGATTTAGGTAATATAAAAATGGGATTTGTGGAAAAAACTCAATTCCTTTCGGTTCAAAACTTTATTTTCAGTTTTTCGAGTTTTTATACATTTTGTATCCCTGTAACCAAATTTGTTTTTCTCATCCAGACTAAAGAACAATTCTAAACCTATGTATTGTCCTTTTTGGGGTAAAGCCAGGAAAATATAGTTGGTTTCAAATATGGGTCAACTTTCTTGTCCCGGTTGACCTCTTCATTGTCGTGGCTGGGCTTAAACATGAATGATTAATTGTCTGTGAGAAGAGAAATTTTTTTATTTTTAATATTTAAAACATATTGATATTATGACCATATGGGATGTATAGCTGCACTAGCTTGGGAACACATCGTGGACCAGAGGAGTCATATTTGTTCCCATCGTTTACCCGAACCTTGTCGTAAATTACGATTTTAGCTATTTTTTCACATTGGTCTCCCGAGATTCCCAATCAAAATTTGAGGCAAATCGGTCCATGGGTTCCTGAGTTATGATCGGACAAACAAATAGAGATTACAACTTTATATATATATAAATATGTACTTAATTTGTTCAAGGGTCGAATTATGACATGTTATTGTTGAGTCTTATTACAAAATATCCGGCCTCAACCCTTGACCAGGTTCATAGTTAAGAATCTTAAAAATATTTTTATGATTATTTCAGGTGGTCTACTTTCTGCTCATTTAATGGCCAAGTAAGTTTGTTTGACCAACAAATTGACGAAGACGAAGAAAAAACATGTTAAACTCTTAATACGGATAAATACAATTACCCACAGAATTAAACAGATTATTAATCAGCATAAAAACCTATTTGGGCCTTGGGATGATTAATATTATTAAATGAGAAAAAGTATTTTTTTATTTATTTAATTATTTGAACTTAACTCGTCTATAGCTATATGATGTTCTAAGTTTTGAGATAAGAAAATATTTTTTTTCTTCATTATTTTATTATATTTTGAGGTTTTTCATTATAAATTTGGAGAAAATATTAAACTTTTGAAAAAAAAGAGGGAGAGACTTTTTTGAAAAATAGTCCCTTTATCAATTTTTCTATTACTAGGAGAGCAGGAGTGTATCTGGAGGAGGGGTGGCCTTGTTCTGGTCCCTTGCTTAGATTAGCCGAGGATGCAGGTCAGAGCATCTCTGTTTATTTAACCGGAGTCCGAATTTTATGAATTTGAGCCGCGTCTCAAATCCGCCGGAAACCGATTTCATTTGAGCGCCGGCTCAAATCTTGAAACATTGAATACAATTTTAAGTGGAACCAACCATATTTGAGCCGCGTCTCAAATTTAAGCCGCAGCTCAAATTCTTTAAATTCGATCGGTATATTTTTCGACAATACCCAATACCCACCTGCAATATGTTAATGATTTTCGAAAACATTTTCTCTCAAAAACATTTTACTTTCCCCCCAATTCAGAAAAAAAAACAATTGATAGAAAATAAACAGTTTTTTAAATTTGTCTATTTTTTCCCTTTTATTCAATGGCGATTATTTATGTGTAGTTTAAATATTTCAGCTGATCGGTTACTTCCCGCATTTGATACACCAACTGGAATGCCGTACGGTACAGTTAACCTTAGAACTGGGGTTCCTGAAGGAGAAACACCAATAACATGTACTGCAGGGGTCGGGACATACATTGTAGAATTTGGTACACTCTCTCGACTTACAGGTGGATTAATCATGTTTTTTTAAATTAATTTTTTATATTTTTATAACATAAAACACCTTAAACTTTTTTTCTTCTGTTTAAACTTCTCTGAAAGAACCTCTATTTATTTAATATAATCAATATTGAAGTGTTTACGATTCAGAATACAAGAAAGAAGGGTTGCTTAGTTTAAGAAAACAAATATTGATTTTTTTATTTATAAAACTAGCTTGAGAACTCAGCGTAGCCCAGGGTACTTATAGTTACTCCCGCCGTTTACCCGCGCTTGGTAGTAAATTATGATTTAGCTATTTTCCCCTTCAAAAGTGGACCCACTCAACTTAAAATCTCAAATTCAAGTGAGTCTTCCCCCAATCAAATTTTGAGGCAAATCGGTCAAGGAGTTCCTGAGCTATGATCGGACATCCAACCAAATGAAAAACAGATTTCAACTTTAAATATATAGATTTATTTTTATTCCCAGGAAATCCTATTTATGAAGATACTGCACTGCGTGCGCTACGTGCTCTGTGGTATAGTAGAAGGTACATTTGTATTAGATAAATGCGGTGTGTTTGTTTGTGTCCAATAAATTTCAAAACAGCTTAACCAATCGACTTTTTATGAGACCTTACATGATCCACGCTGTGGTGAATGACTGATCAGAAATTTATAAAAATTTGTGAATGACTGATCAGAAATTTATAAAAATTTGTGAATGAAATTTGTTTTAGCATCTTTAGAATCCACAGAAGACAAAAACAACAAAATTTGCGGCATGTTTTATTGTTATTATTCAGTATTGAAAAAGAAATATTGCTTGGATTATAGATAGGGTACCCATGAAATAAAAGCATAATTTATTTGCACTTGGTGGCAGTCTAAGAATTCCTATACTGATTTTTTTTTTGACATATTGTACAAGTAAATTGAATTTTTCATATAATGATGTTAAATGGCAATCCCTAAAATATAGTCAACAGTGCTTGGTTACGGTGTTCTTTGCAAACATTCCCATTAGCGTTTTGTTTTTGTTAGAGAAAGAAATATTTGGATGATTTTTCTAGCTTGGTAAAAATTGGCTCATTTTGGCAATACAAATGTTTCTTGACTATTTCTAAATGTTTTTTTATCATTTAATAAACAATAGGCGTAAATTAACAAAACTCTGATCAGTAAACACCATGAACCCTCTTTTCATAAATCGGAATCACTCCCTTTAAACATAATATTTTGTTTTAGTAATATTGGTTTGCTTGGAAACCATATAGATGTGTTGACCGGTAAATGGACTGCAGTAGAGGCGGGGATAGGTAATGATACCTATATCATAAATTCATAAAGGAATTGTAGAAGTTATTTAAATCACCTTCAAACTAAACAGTTTTCCGCCTGATTCACAACAGCACCCTTTACACCGTTTTCTGAGCAAGGACGTTGAGATATACTTGTTTTATCCTCTGAAAAGGGATAATTATTATTTTCATAATCTATTTTTCTCCTTCGATACTCAGATAAAGGAGTGAAGGGTGCCGTTGTGAACCAGATTAAACTCTTTAAACGGTGGGTCACCTCAAATAATGTCCGACAACCAATTTTCCGAATTCAAAGCTACGTATTCTCATTTCAGACTCTTATCTTAACCGTCTTGGTAAAGAGTGCATTTACTTTACTTTTGATAAAATAGAAAAGAAATGAAATCAACTTTCTCACGAATATGATTATAAATGGTTTAATATTGTTTATCCCAGGGGCTGGTGTTGATTCGTATTTTGAATATCTGGTGAAAGCATCGTCTCTGCTCAACCGTCCAGAGCTCCTGATCATGTTTAATCAGGGTAGAGAGGCAGTTGATCAATATCTCAGGTTTGATTAATTTATCCCAGATCATCCTGATCATGTTTTATCAGGGTAGAGAGGCAGTTGATCAATATCTCAGGTTTGATTAATTTATCCCAGATCATCCTGATCATGTTTTATCAGGGTAGAGAGGCAGTTGATCAATATCTCAGGTTTAATTATCGATCAATTATGGTAGATCATGAATTTTTTTAAATGAATGAATGAATGAAAGGTTGAATAAATCCGGAAGGATGATTGGAACTTTAGGATGAATAAGTGAAAGGATGAAAGGATAAATAAATGAATGAATTAGGAAGGATGACTGGTACTTCTGGGTGAATATGAAGAATGGGCAGGTTACTCTACCCTTGTTCCAGAACCTTGAAGCATTCTGGCCTGGTATGCTCAGGTTAGTTACAATTATTTTATTTAGAGGACATTGTCGTTGTTAATTCTTAATCCAAGACAAATTCTTTGGTTTCTGTTTTCTTTTCTGCAGAAATTCACAAGTACATTTTATAGAGGACACGCGATTGAATAAATTGTTGGTTAGAAAAGAATTATGTATCAATAATGTTTGCTTAGACAAAGGAGAAATGGTATAGTTGTTGATCTGGCATGCAACGTTTCAGGGAGAGTTACTTGAAATTACCTAAATTATTAAACTGAGTAAATGGCCCCAGGGATAGTACATATGTCCGAAAAAAGAACCTGTTTTTTATTTATTTTAATTTTTCAGTTTGGTTGGTGATCTTGAACCAGCACTGAAATCTCTTCACAATTATCACCAGGAACAGTTTCATTTGGCTCAGTTGCTTCAGCAGCAATAATGTTTATGTAAATATTTATGTTGTGATGATTCTCGGGACTCATTTTGGAGTATATGAAGAATATCTTGCTTTAGATTTTCATTTTTTATGTTCTTCATATCTTCTTTTGAAAATACGTAGATGACCTAATTTAACTGAGCTGAGCTGTATTGAACTTAAGCAGTTCCCCCCCCCCCTCTTTTTCTTTAAATTCAAGCACAATCTCTGAAAGCATCAGTTGATAGTGAATAGGTGTGGAAACAATAATGTAGAATGTCTGAAAAGATTTATGCTTATTGTTCAATCCCTTAAATCATCATGATCTAAACTAATGGTGTTGAGTGAGTGTTAAAGCAGTAATGTTCCCCCCCCCCCCTCTTTCAATTTGTAAAGAGTCCGTTAAAAAGTCCTCCTGATCTAAACTAATGGTGTTGAGTGAGTGTTAAAGCAGTAATGTTCCCCCCCCCCCCTCTTTCAATTTGTGAAGAGTCCGTTAAAGTGTCCTCCTGATCTAAACTAATGGTGTTGAGTGAGTGTTAAAGCAGTAATGTGCCCCCCCCCCCCTTCTTTCAATTTGAGAACAGTCCGTTAAAGTGTCCTCCTGATCTAAACTGATGGTGTTGAATAGGTTTGGAAGCAGTATGGGTTTACTCCTGAGTTCTATAACGTAGCACAGGTAAAAGCTATTCTAGTTATTTTAATATAAATAAAAAGATGATTTGTGTATTCCAAGTTGTAGTAATGCAAAACTTAATCAACAAAATAAATATTTAAATTGATTTGTGTATTTCGTCTGGGTTGCATTTGTAAAGAAACTAATTTATTGATTAATCAGATTGATTTAGTGTATTTCAGGGATCAATCAGTTGATCAGTTTAATTGATTTGCGTCATTTTTAGTGCATTCATGAAGCTAGTTATCGATTAAACTGATTTGTGTATTTCAGGATGTATTCCTGAAACTATTAATCGATTTGGTAGATTTGTGTATTTCAGGATGTATTTCTGAAACTATTAATCGATTTAATTGATTTTATATCTTAGGGTGTATTTCTAAACTATTAATTGATTGGATCGATTTTTATATTTTATGGTGTATTCCTGAACTATAAATTTTTTGAATTGATTTTTTTATTCTAGGGCTTGTTTCTGAACTATTAAGTGATTTAATTGATTTTTATATTCTACGGTTTATTCCTTAGCTAATAATTGATTTGATTAGTTTTTATATCCCAGGGTGCCTTTCTGAATCCATAAATTGATTTGATTGATTATTATATTCCAGGGTGGAGTTTCAGCAAACCGTGAAGGATATCCACTCCGACCTGAGCTCATAGAGAGTATCATGTATCTTTACAGGTAGGTAGACACTGGACAGTGGACACCATCTAGGAACACTTGATCATTGTGTGAAATGTCTTCTTTATAAAAACTTAACTTTTTTAAAGTAGAAATAAAGTTCTGACGGACATAATAATTATTATTAATATGCATTTTCCCATTCTTTCTTTTTGGTTCAGAATTGAATGAGGGGGAGGGGATATAATTGTCTAAATAAACAACTTGGTTCCTCTTTTCAAACTAAATAATTAATTTTTCCATAAAATTATTAATTTATCCTAAAATCGGAAAAGAAAGTTGAAACTTCCATACATCAAGAGTAAACTGACTTCGATAGGAGAGCTCATTAATCTTTGTTTTTTATTGACCTGAAAAGAATTTATTTATATATCTGGTTATAGATCATTTTTATTTTTATTATATCAGGGCGACTGGAGATCCTTGGCTAGTGGATGCAGGAGTGGATATTCTTAAGGAACACTATTATTATTATTATTACTATTATTACGATTACTATTACTATTACTATTACTATTACTATTATTATTACTCTTACTATTACTATTACTATTACTATTATTATTACTCTTACTATTACTATTACTATTACTATTACTATTACTATTACTATTACTATTACTATTAATACTCTATTATTAGCAGTTCTGCATCGGTTTTACCTTTTTTTGCAAAAAAAGAAAAAATATATATGTAAACACTGAACATAGGTCAAAACTTTTGTGTGGGTTATCGTTATTATGCAATGTTCGACCTCGGTATATACAATTATACAGCATGGCAACTTTAGAATTATATAGATAAGTGCTTGATCTCTCAGTGATCTGTTGGGTTCAAATCTTTAAACGAGAGGAATTGATCTGATCCTTTTTAAATAAACAATCTTTAAACTGCTTGATCCCGAGATTTACAAAGTTTATTTGACCCCAGCTAGAAATGCGCGAAAAAAAGGTGAAATAATTTGGCTGTTAATTGAATAACACAATATGGTATTTCTGAAATTAAAACGACTCGGAAAAGTAAACAATGATGTTGTTGTTGTGTGTAGAGTATTCAGTATTCAGCATACACTCCCTGTGGATATGCGACTGTAAAGGTAATTATTTAGAATAGGGGGGGGGGGTAAATATTTTAAAACAGACTTTTTAAGAAGTGTTAAGTAATTTAGAACAATGTTAAATAAATTCTAAATTAATTTTCTTTGGGTACAACGATACCCGTTTTCTTGATAAAAAAACTTTTAAAATGTTTTAATTATATGTTTTCATTCAAAAAAAAAATATGTATCACAAACATGTTTTCAAAAAAAAAAGATAATTTTGTATGGTCATGAAAATTTCTATTAAAGCTGGAAATTAAAACATTTTTCTCCATAAGAAACTGAAATATGAAGACGACTTAAATCTGTCTACGGTAATTTGTTGGTGTAAAAATGGAAATATTTATCTCTAAAAGATTGAAAATAAACTTATTAAAAAATCAAATTGATGTGTACCAAGCTAATTTTGTTTTTTCTCCTGCGGTTTTATGGGGACCACTGTAAAAGTATTCATAATACTATTTTAGAATGTTCGAACTCACACGCTAGAGAATCGTATGGAAAGCTTCTTCCTTGCTGAGACGGTGAAATACCTTTACCTACTCTTTGATCCGGACAACTTCATTCATAACTCAGGTAGGCGGATATTTATGAATGAGAGGTAGTTGAAATATTTCAGGCTGGTTAAAATACTTTTATTTGAAATGGTTCAGTAAATCTATAGTTAATCAAAGCAAAACATGTCAGATTATCTGACCCTGTGGGATTCAGTTGATTCAAAATTCGGAAAATTGGTTAAAACTGAAGAAAATAGAGATGGGAATTGTTTAAAAGATGAAAAAGTTATTAATAGAGATGGAAATTGTTTACAACTTGAAAGAGTTGTTAATAGAGTTGGAAATTGTTTAAAATTTAAAAGAGTTATTGATAGAGTTAGAAATTGTTTAAAATTTAAAAGAGTTATTAATAGAGTTCGAAATTGTTTAAAATTTGAAAGAGTTATTGATAGAATTGGAAATTGTTTAAAATTTGAAACAGTTATTGATAGAGTTGGAAATTGTTTAAAATTTGAAAGAGTTATTGATAGAGTTGGAAATTGTTAGAAATATAAAAGATTTATTTTTGGATATGGAAAATGGTTTGAAATATGATATTATATTAATAAAGATGGGATTTCTTAAAAATATGGGATTTATTAATAGAGATGGCATTGTTAAAAAGATAATCGATTTATTAATAGAGATGGAAATTGTTAAAAAGATAATCGATTTATTAATAGAGATGGAAATTGTTAAAAAGATAATTGATTTAATAATAGACCTGGGAATTGTTAAAAAGATAATAGATTTATTAATAGACCTGAGAAATGTTAAACATATAATAGATTTATTAATAGACCTGGGAATTGTTAAACATATGATAGATTTGTTAATAGACCTGGGAATTGTTAAACATATGATAGATTTATTAATAGGCTTGGGAATAGTTAAACATATATGATAGATTTATTAATAGACCTGGGAATTGTTAAACATGATAGATTTGTTAATAGACCTGGGAATTGTTAAACATATGATAGATTTATTAATAGGCTTGGGAATAGTTAAACATATAATAGATTTATTAATAGACCTGGGAATTGTTAAACATGATAGATTTATTAATAGACCTGGGAATTGTTAAACATATAATAGATTTATTAATAGGCTTGGGAATAGTTAAACATATAATAGATTTATTAATAGGGATGAGAAATGTTAAAAATATGATAGATTTATGAATAGACCTGGGAATTGTTAATCATATGATAGATTTATAAATTTTTTCTTCAAAAATTGTTTCAGGTACTACTGCAACAGTGCATGAGACTCCGCATGGGAAATGTATACTTGATGCTGGAGGAATATTGGCATTTAATCAATCAATCATATAAAAATACTACTTTTTTAACAACTTTTGCTATATTTTTAAATTTCTGAAAAATAAATGCAATCATAACGTAGGATACGTTTTCAATTCAGAAGCTCATCCCATGGACCCAGCCGCACTTGGTAAATCGTAATTTAAATTTGTAAAAGAAATTTACTTTATTATTTTTTGGTCTGTTAATTCATTAATTAGTTTTTTATTTAAGCTTGCTGTTCCGCCTTTTCTGAGACAGAAATGAAAAATGAAATATCCGGACACTTAGTGGATATATTAGATCCGGCTAGTATCCGGTCCTTCAGGTATATTTATATCCAGTTATATTGTGGATATACTAGAGTTAGTATCTGACTAAACGATTGTTGACTTTAAAAGTCACTTTAATAAAATAAAGAGATCCAAATGGATATTTCTAACATTTATTTAATAAAACGAAAGTTTTGAAATATTTGCATATAAAGCGGAGTTAAAATTGGTTGATTTAGAAATTAACAAAGGAATTAATGATGGATATTTGATGGCACTTCATGGGAGTGTTGTAGAGCTTCATGTTGGTGGAGCAGATCAACAGGAACTGGGACAACAGGGCTTATCAATGGAACTAAGGCAATGCAACTCCAGATAGCGGAAACTTTGGTCGGAGCCGGGCACAAGTTTCCTAAGTAAGCTTCTCAAGAAGTTAATAGGGAGATCAGAGGTATAAGCACGCCTGCTGTTAGCTCAGTATCTGCATCATCAGCATGAAGGAGTCAAGAGGCTCCAAGTGTCGGAGCTGTTACCAGCCCAACTCTCCTAACCTGACTGAAGGCTGGGGTGTGTAGAGGGTGAGGCGGGGAAAGAAGGAGCGAGGGTTACATGTGTGTGCTTCATGGCGGAAATGGATCGTGTGTATACACACATCTTGAAAATAGTTGACGGCAATTGAGTCGGTAAAATCGTCTTCCTTATATTTTGAATTTGTGTTAACAACGATATTTTGGTTAGATAATTTCAATACTCGTTGTTTCAGAGGAATCAATGGAATAGTTAAACCAAAAACAAATATTTATTAAAGATCGTGCTGAAACCCCGGAGTTTGGGTACGAGTTGAAACTCTGACCCCTGCAAAAGACGCCTTAAGCAATTCCTGTAAAATATGATTTGATTATTTATTTATATCTAGTTGTCTAGTTTATATTCTAGACACATGCATCCCTTTCCCAATGTCCAATCCTTGTCTCCCTCGAGAATAACATTATTCCATATACTCATTATAATAGATTCTTAGAATATTATTCCATAAACTCATTATAATAGATTCTTAGAATATTATTCCATATACTCATTATAATAGATTCTTAGAATATTATTCCATATACTCATTATAATAGATTCTTAGAATATTATTGTTGATGTAGGGGAGATCTGGTTCCTCAGAGGATAAAGGAAATAGAGAGGAGAAGGAAGGAAAATCTTCAGGAGAAGGAGAAAAGAAATCGTCTCATCAGGTCACATTAATAGTTTTTCATTTTCCTCCTCCTCATTTTCACCTACAATGCTAGAAATGTTTGCGCGGAGCAAACAAATTCATGTATTTTTGTTTAACAATTATCGAAAACCAGAAATTATTCATTCTTCTCTGTTAAATCGTAGAAAATCATTACATATCTATGCCAAGGGAAGTATTTTTTAAAAACATTTTATCTTCGGGATATTGTTCAAGATAAATAAAATTATTTAATACTTTCTATCTTCAAAGTATGATTTAATGAAAAAGGTAATTTTATCCCAATTTTAGTTCGTAATAAAGGTTAAAATAACTTTAAAATTACAAAACAAAATTTTTTCAGGGAGGAACTTGAGAAGATAAGAAGCAAAGCGCAAAAGGATGCAGCTGCATTAAAGAAGCAGCAAGACGAACAGCAAGACGAAAAGCAAGATGATCTAAAAGAACAGCAAGACGAACTAGACGAAAAGGAAGTCGACCTAAACGAACAGCAAGGCTCAGATTCACCTGAGGAATTAGAACTGGAAGAACTAGAGATTAAAGAAGAGATAGTTGACAGTAAACAGAAGGAAGAACAAGTTACAGATACTGAACCTTCCGTTGAAATAGTTGACAATGAGATCGCTGGAGAGATCATTAAAATTAAAGATCAAACCGTTAAAACTGAAGAAATTAACTTCGAAGAAGATCCACAATTTTCCGAAACCAAAGAATCTGATACTAAGGTAGAAATAAAATCTTAGGTATTTAGGATTCACATTAATATTAAATCACAACTTGATCAATATTCATGTTTAATAGTGAGCAGTCTCTTTAAAGGTACTGCAAGCGTAATTTCAGGTGTCTCGCCAATTATGAAGTTACATTTCCTAATCACAATGTTACCGGTAAAAGCTTTGTCTGGTCAATTTCTCTTTGAAAATAAATTATTTTAAATTTTAGTTTCTTTTCAAAGTGGTTTAAGCAATTCTGCTTCGGAAATAAGGAGGAAATGGGCAAGCCAGAAAAATTATAATATCTTCCAGTGAGATATTATTGATTAGATAAGTTTAAAGGGTAATTTAGGACCTAGATGAATCTGGAAAGGTTGTGAAGAATATGATTCAGAAACTCTCAAGTGGAGAGTTTCTTCAAAGTCAAGGTTGGTTTCTCTTTTATCCGAAAGCAAGGCTATATATTTTTTTAACATATTAGCAAACAAATTTATTCCAAATGGGCCGAACTTTTTTGAGGAAACCTTTTCAACATTCTAAATTTTTTAAAAAGTGTTTCTAAAATTCCACGGGCTACGAATAATCTTTGAGCCTTGCGGAACAGCACCAAAGCTTTTGCGGGTTTTATCCCGTAAAACCTAAAGATATCTTAATTCTTAAAACATCAGCAAGTTAAGTTCTTAAAATTTAGCTGGAGTAGCAAAAATTAGGATAATAAATAACCCCTTTAAATTGTACTGCAGGAATAGTACAGCCTGAACAGATGCCTAGTTTATCTATTGGTCCAGCAAATCAGTTAGTAGAGGCCATTAACAGCCTCGTAGAGAGGTTTCTACCTACCCGCTCCAGGGAGTTCGATCTTATCAAGTTTTCAGATAAAATCAAGGTAATTTGGGTTTTTAAAACAAGGTTTTTTTTCAAAGCTATATGTAAAGAAGTTGGCAATCCAGCTTTCAACTTTAATTTTTAGTTAATTTTATCTATATTCGAACGAAAATCAGCATTATAAAAAATATGATATTAGAATAAGAATCAGCATCATTAAATAATATTTAAATATTGGATTTAGTATCAGTTTCGTTAAATAATATTTTAATAATAAAATAAAAGGGGTGTCTTAAAATGATATTTTTATATAGAATGAGAATCAGTATATTTAAATGATAATATTATATAAAATGAGAATCAGTATCTATAAATTATATTATTATATAAAATGAGAATCAGTATCTTTGAACGATATTATTATATAGAATCAGAATCTTTGAATGATATTATTATATAGAATGAGAATCAGTATCTATAAGTGATATTATATATAATGAGAGTCAGTATCTAAAAATGATATGATATGATAGAATGAGAATGAGGATCTATAAATGATATTATTATATAGTATGAGAATCAGTATCTGAAAATGATATTATCATATAGAATGAGACTCAGTAACTATAAATGATATTATATAGAATGAGAATCAGTATCGATAAATGATATTATTATATAGAATGAGAATCAGTATCTAAAAATAATATTAACTTATAGAATGAGAATCAGTATCTTTAAATGATATTATATAGAATGAGAATCAGTATCTAAAAATGATATTATCATATAGAATGAGAATCAGTATCTAGGGGGTGTAATTCTTAGAAAAGTTTACCCCGGCTTTTATCTACATAGTTATGTGATTAATATTAAGATAGCAATTCGTATATTCATTTTTCTTTCTTTATGGATATTTGCAACGTTTAACATTCTCATCTTTTGCCAACCAATTTTTAAGATGTTGTGATATTATTTTTTATAAATGTACAATGTACCATGCAAGTTCATAAACAATATAATTCTAAGAATTATTTATTTTAGGTTTCAAATTTTAATCTCGATATATCAACTTTAAGTTTTGTTACCAACCTGTGATTTTGAATAAAGTTTCAACTTAAATAAAGATATGAAGAATATTTAGTTTTGCATGTATATTGTATATATGTTACAAATTGTACATGCAAGTTTTTCAAGATAATATAAGATCAATGTGATGACGAGGCCTGTGTATGTACATTTCCAATTCCTTTCAGCGTAAGTTGCCGAAACATCTCAAATATTTGTTACCACTGTGATTTTGTGGTGAAAAACTGAAATATCAGCTGAAATAAAGATATGAAAATAGGTCTAATTTGAAAGAAATTGAAATTATACTTAAACACAGTACAGATAATTATGTAGATATGAGAAGAAATTGAGATAGTGATGCTATTTTTTTTAGCGAGCAGCCAGGGGGGGGGGGATGTTCTTTCAAATATGACCACCCCTTTTTTCGTCCTAGCGTTACTTCTGTTCTTTTTCAAATTTAGACAACGTCAGCTTATTCAATATAGGTTGATTTGGTTTAAAATGTATTTTGTTTGAAAACATAACCATGAACTGCACTGCAACGTTTAGGTTATATTAACATAGTAATTGGTTTTGATTTGCTTGAGGGATAATGAAAAAAATGTCTATGGATTATTTTACACGCCTTCTGTACGTAAAATTTCTAAACCAATCTAAGAACCTGCCCGTGGCTCCACCAAGTTTCCCATAAAAATTTGAGGCAAATCGGTCGAGAATTCGTGTGGTATAATTTGAGGCAAATCGGTCCAGAATTCGTGTGGTATAATTTGAGGCAAATCGGTCCAGAATTCGTGTGGTATAATTTGAGGCAAATCGGTCCAGAATTCGTGTGGTATAATTTGAGGCAAATCGGTCCAGAATTCGTGTGGTATAATTTGACGACAGAGATTACTGCTTAATTAACATACGGTGTGTCCCACGAAATATGACAGTTGCAAGACGAATTGAACGTAGTCTTCGCTTTTGTTATCATTTGCTGCAATTATATTTCAACCTAATTTTAGAAGTACAATTCTTGAGATAGAAATCACAAAATACATCGAGTCCTTATATTTCCAAAATGTGGCCTGCCTTGAATGTGCTACCGATATTACCCGCGAGATAAGAACTTCGTTCAGATTTCGTAACTTTGGTTTTATTCATTAAAATTTAAATCTCTACAAAATCTTCAATATCTCCGGTAACATTGCCACCACAAAAAAGGCAGACCACATTTTGGAAATACCAGAACTAGGAGAATTTGTGGTTATTGTTTCAAGAATCATACATGTGTAGGAAGGTTGACGACTAATGTCGCAAATTAATTCCAAGGTTAAAGAGGACTTTCAAGTAGATTTGCTTTTGTCAAGTTTCGTGGGAAAAGTGTAGAATAGGAAGACAATGGTATAGCATTACATATCGATTTTTAATTGAACTTTCTCGATACATAATAGTAATTTGCATCAAAATAAAATAAGACTCTCTCCACTACCCAAACTCAAAGTGATATTCATGCAGCAGATCCAGAATTAACACTTTTAAAAAAGTCACCTAGTTAAATGACCTTGCAAAATGTAGATTACATTTGTAGTAAATTATACATGTATAATTAAAGTAATTTACATGTAATGGATCAGTATATGAATACTTATTTCAGCAGATTAATAAATATTTTATTATGAATTATATTTATATTTAAGTAGATGAATAATAATATATATAAACATATATTTAGATAATGTATAAAAGCAAAGCAAGGATACATAAAGACAAAACCTGAGAGAACATTCATTATATTTCAGACAAACTATTAATATTTGTACCAATGCTTGAATGCCTAAGGAGATAAAGGCACTATTTTGTGTAATAGATTGCCTGAAATCTGTACGGATGAAGGGTATTATATGAATCTTACATAAAGATAACAGATCTAGAACTTTTTAGATATTTGTAACTTTTCCAATTAACTATTCTCCAAAATTAATAACAAGTGGCATGTTTGATTCACAACGGAAATCTTAAAAGCATTATCTGATTAAGAATGAGCTATTCATTTTCCTCTTTCTGAAATTTGTTTGTTTGTAGTTTCTCTGTAAAACTTACTTTCGGACTTCTACTTACAGAAACAAGTTAAAAGAATAAAACACTGTTCAAGCTAGACACACGTCGATATCTTTTTCATTTTTAAAAAGACAAAGTTTTACAGGGTATCGTTGTGAATTAGACATGTCCCTCTTTTATATGGAGGGTCCCTTTGAGTGACATTTATCTTTAGTAAATTATAAATTGTAGAATTGTTCCATAATGCTGAATTCCAACTTCTTTTTATATTTGATATTTGAGAATGTTTTTATGGAAATATCATTTAGGAAATTTTTTTTCTAAAGTGGGTAGGATGATTTTTTTGAGAAAATATACACCCCTGAATTTCTTCTCTGGGAATTTGACATCGTAGTTTCCAAGTTCTCCTTGTGCAATATCATAAGGTTTGTGAGGTGCACATTAAAGTGTTAGTGAAACAATTTCTATCAGGGTAGGTGTTCTTCCTGGCAGTTGGTACTTATGCTCGGCCATTTCTCCAAAGCTTGATATTACAATTAGAAAGTTGAAAAGACTTCATTCCATTATGATCCTTGAGGTGACAAAACTAGAAATTTCCCAATCCTCTGAAGAAAATGAAAGCCAAAAATAAGCCAATATATTGAAACTAGTTTCTGCTCGCTAAATTAATCGACATTAGAGTTAAATAAACCTTTGCATTGAAGAAAACGGCCAAGTTTTACAAAGAGGTTAATTCCTAAATCTTCCTACCCCGATATACAAACATTCATACAGACATACAAATAATAAGCAGGGACCAGGGTTGGTGCTTTTCAGCGCAAATACAGTATACAGCAAAATAAGCAACAACAAGGAATTTTTTTCGTCTAGCAACGGCATCCAGACATGTTAGGCAACAAGGAAAAAAGTCCATTAAAATTTTCAGAACAAAAATCGTTTAAATATACATCAGGGATAATCCATTGAGGATTTTCAGAAATATAACAATGTCAAAATAAAGATTATAGTGTTAAACGAAGAAAAAAATTGTTTTTCGTTAGTATTAAAACGAAGATTCGTGGAATATCATTAAAATCAGTGTTTCGGATCCATATCATTTTGATTTGGATCCGGATCCGGATCCGCGGATCCGCATCCGTGTTCATGGATCCGGATCCGAGGTAACTTTTGATTCTGTGAATCGGATTTTCCCTATTAAATGTTATGCAAGGTTATAATTTATAAAATTTCGTCATTAATTTACTATTATATAAATGTAAACATTAAATTATTAAAGATAATTTTGAAAAATTTTCGTCATGTAAAATGTAAATAATACATTTACGAACCATTTTGATTTATTTATTCCATGGTTTTGGTTAATTTTTGGCGCTACCCGGATCCATATCAACGTTTCCTGATACGGATCCGGATCCGACCAAATGATACGGATCCGACCGGATCCGGATCCGAAACACTGATTAAAATCGTGTGAAATGAAAAATATTTTCTTTTATTAAGAAGTGAAGCCAAGGAAACTGGAGCATTGTTGTAGCTTAAAGCATGCCGATGCCGTCTTGTTCCTTGTTGGCCTGCTTCTCGAAGAACATGTAGTCAATGAGGAAGCAAGCTCCGATCAGGGTTGCCTTGCACCTTACATCCAGGTCCATTGGGAAGCTAGAAAACACATATTTAAAACTATAAGATGCATCTTAAATATCTCATTTGACCCTCCATGTACAATGTACACTTTCTACGTAGTGGCATGACTGATTCACAACTTGGTAACCCTTTTCTTGCATTTAGAACGTTGATGGAGATATCATTATTCTTTTAGTTGACAATTGAGGACCGGGAAACATTTGTCCAAATTAGCATGGTGAGTAGTACATTGTTCTCATAGCTTTCGGACACTTTAATTTTTAGGTAGCAATAAGGATATCTTCATCACTTCGTTACACAATGTCGATCTTGTAGGACGTCTTTAATAGTGATTTTTAACTTACAATAGTCCTGCGACAAGACTGCAAAAATACTTTTTATCCCTTTATAAAAAATTCGCTCATTAATAAAAATTCAATCACTTAAAGAACAAATTTGGATTAGGACAAATTATCTGAAAATAAGAGAACAATTAAGGCTCAATGGACTAGACGTAATTTTAAGCTTTCCGCCATTTTTGGAGATGGCATGTCCTATTCACAATGGTATCCTTAAAGCTTTTGCTGAAGGATGAACAAGATATTATTGTTTTTCTAGATGACAATTCGTATGTTATTAATTTAATTTTAAAATCAACATAGACTCAATACACCTACAGTCCCAGTAGGTAAGACGCTTAGCTCCTTCCTTTCAAAAGTTCCCAACTCTGGTCACCTGATTCCGAAGTTGTTCTGCGTCTGTGAAGGACTCACCTGATTCAAAGTTGTCTGCGTCTGTGAAGGACTCACCTGATTCTGAAGTTGTCTGTGTCTGTGAAAGACTCATCTGATTCCGAAGTTGTCTGCGTCTGGGAAAGACTCACCTGATTCCGAAGTTGGCTGCATCTGTAAAGGACTCACCTGGTTCCGAAGTTGTCTGCGTCTGTGAAAGACTCATCTGATTCCCAAGTTGTCTGTGTCTGTAAAGGACTCACCTGATTCCAAAGTTGTCTGCGTCTGTGATGGACTCACCTGATTTCGAAGTTGTCTGCGTCTGTGAAAGACTCACCTGATTCTGAAGTTGTCTGCCTCTGTAAAGGACTCACCTGATTCCAAAGTTGTCTGCGTCTGTGATGGACTCACCTGATTTCGAAGCTGTCTACGTCTGTGAAAGACTCACCTGATTCTGAAGTTGTCTGCGTCTGTGAAGGACTCACCTGATTCCGAAGTTGTCTGCATCTGTAAAGGACTCACCTGATTCCGAAGTTGTCTGCGTCTGGGAAAGACTCACCAGATTCCGAAGTTTTCTGCATCTGTAAAGGACTCACCTGATTCCGAAGTTGTCTGTGAAGGACTCACCTGATTCCGAAGTTGTCTGCGTCTGTGAAAGACTCACCTGATTCCGAAGTTGTCTGCATCTGTAAAGGACTCACCTGGTTCCGAAGTTGTCTGCGTCTGTGAAAGAATCACCTGATTCCCAAGTTGTCTGTGTCTGTAAAGGACTCACCTGATTTCGAAGTTGTCTGCGTCTGTGAAAGACTCACCTGATTCTGAAGTTGTCTGCATCTGTAAAGGACTCACCTGATTACAAAGTTGTCTGCGTCTGTGATGGACTCACCTGATTTCGAAGTTGTCTGCGTCTGTGAAAGACTCACCTGATTCTGAAGTTGTCTGCGTCTGTAAAGGACTCACCTTATCCCGAAGTTGTCTGCGTCTGTGAATGACTCCTTCAGTAATCCTGTCCACTGTTTACTGATCCTCCCAACCTCCTGGCTTTCATCAGGAGTCATCACCTACACCAGAATATTCAAGATATGGAAAAAAGGGGGGTTGGAGCTAGGGGGTGAACAACAAACATATTATATTAATCAATAGAAATATTAAATCTTTAGTTTTAAATAATTATTAACTTGTTGCACTTATTTACACATTTTTACTTTTTCTTCGCGGCTTATTTTCACTGCAGCTAGCTTTGTTTATTCAAAACTTGATTATTTGCAACAGCAACCCAAGGCCAACTACACCATTTTATACATATCATGGGAACTTAAAATCCATTTACACTTCGTTTTCCAGACTCTGACAAGAACAGAAGACTAGTAATTTAAACGAAAGCAACGATTTTTTGAATTTGTAAATTCAGAGTTTCAAAACTAACACTATGCCCATTTTTAACACTGAGTGTTAGAAATGGGCAAAAATTGAAAGACTGGGTTTTAGGATCCCGGCCCATATCGAGAGTAAAAGTCGATAATAATAAGTTCTTTTGAACCCTTGACCGTTTTCAAGACCATGTCAGGTTTTCCATTTCGATCATATCCTGAATTTGGATCATTGTCGCGTTTTTGAGTATACTCCTCTAATCAGAACAAAACTCACTTTCATAACTTACAAAATAAATCACTGAAAGTAAAAATTATCTGATGAAGACTTAATTATTTCTAAAATCTCTATTTCCCTATTTTATTTGTTAAACAAGAGAATAAAGTGGATTTAATTTCCCGCATTCTAGATAAAAAAGCTCTCGGATTTCTTGTTAAATCTATATTATAAGGACAAAATAATATTAAAATTTTGATTTCTCGATGCTATAATGATTTTTAAATTATATAAGAACAGTATTTTTTTGTTTTCTATTTTGTTTATATTTTACCTTATCAAAAAATCTTGTTTTGTTAATTAAGTGCGTAAATGCTTGAAAATTGACATTGATATGAATTTAAAACCAGGATATGATCCAAAAACGCGACATGATCTGAAATGCTGTAATTGTTTCAAAATAGGGATATGTTCAAAAAGAAAACCAATATCATCAAAAACTAATTCTCACACCTTATTTCTAATTTAATGTTGGCATTTCCTGTTGCAATAATTAGTTTTAGCCATTTTTAATAAATGTATGGTGTATTTTTGTTTGGATTTAAAGATGTGTACGGTTGAGAAAGATAACATTGCGCAGATTTGGTCCATTTCTAACAATCAGTGTTAGAAATGGACCAGTGTTAGTTTTGGAACTAATTTCTCCTGAGTTTGTAAATGTGTAAATTACTTAGCACTTATACTTTACACAAATACTATTTTCTGATAACTTTTAAAAACCTAGCATATTTCTCTGCCATATTTTGAGAACTCCGAATACAAATAATATTGATAAAATGTAGAAAAAGAACAAAAAAGGAATTCCTAACAATATAGAATTTTCTGATACCTTGAACTCTACATCTCCACAGAGGCTGAAAGTACACCAGGGCCCAATAATCCTTAGAACCTCATTCCCATCCCCGTCACAGATAGAGAAACTAAACAATAACATTTACCATCCCCGTCACAGATAGAGAAACTAAACAATAACATTACCATCCCTGTCACAGATATAGAAACTAAACAATAACATTACCATCCCCGTCACAGATTTAGAAACTAAACAATAACATTACCATCCCCATCACAGATTGAGAAACTAAACAATAACATTTACCATCCCCGTCACAGATTGAGAAACTAAACAATAACATTACCATCTCCATCACAGATAGAGAAACTAAACAATAACATTTACCATCCCCTTCACAGAGAGAGAAACTTAACAATAACATTTACCATACCGAAAAAATAACATCAAAGGATTATTCACGAAAAAAAAAACAGAATCAAAGCTAAGGCTGCCCCAGTATCAGCAGACCTCTCATATAATTTTTGGTGTCTTAGAGGAGAAATATAAATTTCTTTTTTAAACATTGGTTTTGTCTTTAATAATGGAGAGTACAGAACATTCTGTACAATTTTGTTTTTTAATGGATTGAGAATTTTGATAGAATAATTTAATATTGATAATTTCAATTAATTGAGAAAGAGTTAATATGAATAAATGATCCTATTTTGGAATGGTTCACACTACATGTTCGATTGATTGATTGATTTACGGAATAGTTAACTTATTGGATGACTGGTCGATGTTCGAATGGTTCACTAAATGTTCGATTGATTGATTGATTTACGGAATAGTTAACTTATTGGATGACTGGTCGATGTTCGAATGGTTCACTAAATGTTCGATTGATTGATTGATTTACGGAATAGTTAACTTATTGGATGACAGGTCGATTGGAATAATAGTTTATTGACTGTTTTATTGATTGATTGGTGGAAATGTTCATTGAATGACTGATTTGTAAACTAATCAATAATTATTTGATTAGTTAATTGGAAGCAATATTTGATTGATTGGAGAGAACATTTGATTGATTAGAGGGATTATTTGATTGATTACTGATTTGTAAACTAATCAATAATTATTTGATTAGTTAATTGGAAGCAATATTTGATTGATTGGAGAGAACATTTGATTGATTAGAGGGATTATTTGATTGATTATAGGGGGAACATTTAACTGATTGTTTGAAGGGAATATTTGATTGTCTGATTGGAGGGAATATTTGATTGTCCGATTGGAGGGAATATTTGATTGATTAGAGGGATTATTTTATTGATTAATAGGGGGAATATTTAACTGATTGTTTGGGGGGAATATTTGATTGTCTGATTGGAGGGAATATTTGATGTATCGATGTTAGGGAATATTTGATTGATTGTTTGGAGAATTATTTGATTGATTTTTTGCAGGAATATTAGATTAATTGATTGCTTTACCTCGGTTTGATTAAGCTCCAGTTCTGCTTGACATAACCAATAATAGTGCCGGGTGGGGAGCTAACCTAAAATACAATGAATAAAATATTTATTATTATTATATCAAAATTCATATTGTTTTTATTTTCCTAAATCTTTTTTGTGGCAAAAAATTTATTAAAAGCTTGAAAGTTGAAAGGTTTAACACATAGCAAATTATTTTTCTAAAATCACAGCAATGAAAAAATTAGTTAAATAGTGTTTATTACCTCAAGCTCTTGTAGACAGCACGGAAACAGACAGGACTAAAAATTTAAATAAAATTACTAATAAATTAAGAATTAGTGTACGACTCTCTGTCAGTAGCTTTAATCAAGAAATACTGTATAGTAATATCTTTTTAAACATAGTTTGTTATTTTAAGAATGCTGTTTTAAAACTTACTTTTATCATGTAATCCATCCTAAATCCTTAAAAAACCTGGATATTTGCTAAAAACCTAACTACGTCATTCAACCCCTCCTAAAGTCTCAAAAACCTTGTTAATTTTCTTAAAAATCTACCTTCATCATGAAGTCGCTCATAAATCCTCGAAAACCTTGATAGTTTCTTCAAATCTACCGAAATCTTCAAAAACCTTGATAGTTCCTTAAATCCCAAATTACCTGACACCTCAAAGGTCGGTTTAGATGAATAACCTCTCTATCAGCGTTATCCTAGAAATAAAATTTGAATAAGCTTTAAAACAGAATATAGACTACATGGAGTGTTAAATTGCAACAAACTGATCGTTTTAAAGATAAACAATAAACATTATGCTAAATAAAGATAAAATATGTGCAAAATTTTTTTTTTAACAATTAAATACACATTTTAAGAAAAAAAACAGTTTCAGAATGATGTATGGTTTACTATTACCCCATTAACAGTTTCTCAGATGATTTGAATTTTCATGAAACATTGTAAAATATAAATCTTGGAGCCTGTTAAAATCTTTTTTTTTCCGACAAGAAATCGATTTTTTCCTGAACCGGCTGAATGAATCATTTTGAAAGTAATATTAGAAATCAAAATATTAAAATTAATCCATTATTCAGGGGTTGTATATTTTTCAAAATAAATTTTTAATGAATTGGGGATTAAAATGAAAAATGGCACATCAAAAAATCATTTATTTTCCCTGAATAACCATATAAAACTTCAGGGGGAAAAATTATTTTCTAAAAGGGGGGAGAATGATTATTTAGGAAAATATACACCCCTGCCATTTTTTTTCAAGCTCCGGGACCACTGTGGTGTGTGTGGGGAGGGGGAATGTATTACTAAACATTAACTCTTGAAACTACCTTTATGGTCATATCGAATGGTCTGACGGGACCGCAACAGACTCTAGTGCAACAATCAGTATCCTCCTTAGCTTTATAAATATTCTAAAAATAAAACTGTTTTAAGGGAAAATGAAGTGAAAACTGTATCACAACACATTCATACAACGTTATTCTGAGTACTGGATGAACGTCGAGTGGCAAATTGATTATTGCTACATATCCGCCCCTGTTATCTTGAAGAATATCTGTCTATGGCTCTCGTAACTATCCGCAACTGATCCCTGGTTCTTTATAGAATATTCACCCCTGGTTCTTGTAAGAATATCCACCCCTGGTTCTCGTAAGGACTATCCTCCCCTGGTTCTTATAAATAATATCCTCCCCTGGTTCTCGTATAGATTATTCGCCCCTATTTCTATTAGAATATCCGCCCCTAACTCAAGTAAAGAATATAAGCCCTAATGTAACAGTGGGCGAGTTTTGTTGATCTTTTACGATCAGCAATTCAAGGATATCTTAACAAAAATTATTATTCGAAGGTCACGTATCGTATAAATTCTAGGAGTGTTTCGGAGGACGGCTATTTTCCACACTTTACAGTGTAGTGTGTACGATTTCAGGGCCTGGATTTTGAGTACAAACAGGGATAGTTATAACTGAAATTTTTTTAAAAAGAAACGAACGATGTTTTCAGAATTGAATCAAGACTTGACGATGTATTTTGTTCCTTGAAATAGAAAAATAATCCCTGAATTAATCTGTTAATGCCAGCGAAAGCCGTTAGGAGTCGTAGTGAAATTTATTTTTATTTATTCCAATACGCCCAACTGGAATTTACGTTAAATTAAATTGATATAATACAGACACAGTGCATCCCATATCTTAAAGCGTTAACGCCTTAAACACATAATAGTTAAAAAACCATTTTTTACCAGAAAATTTTTATATTAACCTTTCAATTTTACGAAATGATTTAGTCTTCTTTTAATTTCTTTCTATATATATTAGTGCCGAAAAACGTAATTGACACTTTAATATGATGGGACACCCTGTTCATATGAATCAATGAATACACTTGTGACATAGCAGAGCCCGTTCTCTCAATTAAAAGTGGTCGTGTAGTTCACGTACAATTTGGGGGGGGGACGATATGTTGGGAGAGGAAGGCAAACCACAACACTTTTCTCGTCCGAGCCATCCTCGAAATCGTCGTCCTTTAAAGTTTGACATCATTATAAGGATTTGAAGGTTAAAACATGATAAAAAACATTGCAATATTTTAGTCTAACCATGTCCTGTGCCCTAACGTTGCCAGATTTTCTAAAAAAAAAAAAAATTGTGTTGGACATTTAAAATATAATGATAGTGTAAGGACGAGGATTTGGAGGTGGCTCAGACGAGAAAAAGAGGAGAATGTGGCTCGGATTAGAAATCTCCCTCTCCAATTTCCTCTATATATTTTTTTATAGTTTTTCCACGATTCTTCCTCGATATTCATCCTAATGTTCCTCCTTTTATCCTTGATCAATTCATCCCTTCCATCTTCCAAGAGAGTTTTTAATCTTGTATTTGTTCTTAGTCTCACAACCATATCCCATTACACCAGCTGTATACAACAAATTCAATCAGGTAGTCAAACAATCATTAATTGATTTATTAAATCAATCAATCAAATCAAAGATTATCTATTGAATTTTTCATTTCCTCTTGTTATTATTTAAATAACAGTGACAGAGTAATACAAAATCAACAACTTTATCAAATCTGCAAAAGATGAATGTTACATGTTTATTTGAATGTTCCCTAGTGCTTCTAACATCTCTACTTTCTGCTTGATTATCAGCTGATCTGAAAGAAAAAACAAATTTTTTCTGGTTTGTTAAATTCTGTAAAATTTCAACTTAAATTGAAATGGAAATTTAAACCCCAATTTGTTTTTGGTGACAATTTTGGCTTTTAAATGTTGCTTTCCAAGTCGCCGTTTTTACTTCATATTCTATTTAACGATCATTAATAGGATTATTCTGTTTACATTGATAGATTTCAAATTTAAATCAACATCTTTTTCAAGGCAAAATTTGTTCATGATGGGTCCCTAAACCTTCCCTTCGGTCTTTGAGTTATCATTAAAAGTTTGGGCTCGAGACAAGACAAATAAAAATAAAGTTCAGTACATGAATGTATAGTACAGTACATGACTATAAAATACTGTACAGGAATCTTTAGTAGTGTACATGAATCTGTAAAGTTCTGTACATAAATCTATAAAGTATTGTACATGGATCTATAAAGTACTGTGCAATGTGCATAAATCTATTAAGTACTGTGCATTACTGTACATGAATCTATTTAGTACTATACATGGATCTTGTAAAGTACTGTGCAATGTACATGAATCTATTAAGTACTGTGCATGAATTTATAAAGAACTGTGCATGAATCTATTAAGTACTATCATAGAGTAATAAAACGAAGAGGTGAAGCTTAGCTCAGATGTACACAACCGACCTGTCTATTAATTAATTAATAGACAGGTCGGTTGTGTACATCACGATATGTTTACGTATCTAACGCTGTACACTTGTATATAGAGCGATCGTATTTCTAAAGGGGGATTTTATGGAATTGACAAATTTTAGATTTTCTTTCTTTATTTAAAGAGAATTCGAGGATGTTGACTGCATTTGACAATTTTCAAATTTGTAGATTTTCAAATTATTAGCTAAAAGTTCTGTCAAAAATCTTAAGTTTCTAGGGCATGAATTTAACTGAAAACATTCTTATTTCAAACATTTTTTATTGCTGGGGGGGGGCATTTGGCTCCCCCCTCTAGTTTTTTGACTTTTCATAAATAGAAATTTAAAGGATTTTTTGATAATTTTTTTATGCCTAAGGTAGGGTGCAGGGCGATAAAAAAACCAGAGTATGTAAAAAAAAATCTTAAATAGCCCATAACTTTTTTATGACTAAAGCTACAGATCTGAAAACCAAAGTTTTGAAAAGCCCTTGAAAAATTGGTTTGGAAACGTGTGTCACACTTGTTTTAAACAAAAAATTATTGTTTACATTTTTTCGACCTAATCTATCTAATTATCAATACTAATATTCAAATATCTACATTAAACCACTCCTTTGAAATACGATCGCTCTATACAGCGTTAGATACGTAAACATATCGTGATGTACACAACCGACCTGTCTATTAATTAATTAATAGACAGGTCTATGAGTACTATACATGGATCTGTAAAGTACTGTGCAATGTACATGAATCTATAAAGTACTGTGCATGAATCAATCAAGTACTGTGCATGAATCTATTTAGTACTACACATGAATCTATTAAGTACTGTACATGAATCTATAAAGTACTGTACATGAATCTATTAAGTACTGTACATGACTCTATAAAGTAGTACTGTATAGTAAGGAGGTCGATTTTGGAAATTCTACTTGCTTTACTCAGAATAGCATAAGAAAAGATGTTTTCCTCTCAAGTCAATATCTAGTGAACGAAAACCGGTTTTTATGACGATTAATTTTGATCAACGTGATAAATGCAAGCGAAAAAAAATCTTGGTCAAAATATGACTTTACGGGTATCAAAAGATCCGTCTTGGAATTTAAAAACGTTGTAATCGCAAAAATCTGTTCATAAATGAAAAAAGTTCATGGCAAAAGACGGGTTAAGGGGGGAAATTTTGTTAGTCCAAAAATAACCCGTTTTAGGGTGTCAACTCAACCAATTTTTAAAATATCGAAAAAAAATTTATTTGCCGTGATCCGTGGCCTTAGGCGGATCCTTAGTTACTCCTATTAGCATGTTCTGGAGAATTAAAAAAATTACTAGTGATTTTTTTTCTTCAAATTCAAATTTGTCCTGCTTAAATTAATTATACAAAAAATGTTTTTCTCAAAGTTTTTCAAATTTTTATGCTCCATGCAAATCCGATTGAAGCAGTTAAAAATTCATTAAAAATCGACCGATCCCTTACTGTACAGTGTACATTAAGCTTACCGATAAGAGTAAGGTATTCTAGTCCAGGAGGACAGTTAAGAGGAACCATCTGCTCTGCTACTGGCCCCATCCAAGCTCCTGGAAACATAAATTATTTAATATTTCATTAAAAACCTAGTTTTCGGAGATCAATAAATCAAATCTCAATCCAGAGATCTTTGGATCCCAATAAGGGATTATTGGGAAAGTCAACGTGTGTAATTTAAACATTCTAAATAAATATCACAATTTTTAAACCTGAATAAAATCCATTTTTCTCTTTCCGCCGCCACAAAGAACGATCATTTAATTTTCATTTGATGTTGGTTTTAGATCTTTAAGCTTTCAAGTGTTTAAAAAGTAATGTGGTTCATAGCCCAGATTTTACTGCAATTTTACTGTTGAAGAAATTCTTATTGTCCCCCCCCCCCATTTAGCAGGGACAAAACTCATAACCCACTCACCATCTTCCTCCTGCACTGGAGGTGAGAACTGAGGTTGTCCCTGAGGAACCAGAGGAGTAAACTGGCCAGGCTGGTTAGTTACTGGACCAGCTCCGTAGTTGTACTAAACATAATTTAATATAGAACTAGGAGTAAACAAAAGAACCAGGAGTAAACTATCCTGGAGTATACTATAGAACCAGGAGTAAACCATAGAACCAGGAGTAACCTATAGAACCATGAGTAAACTGTAGAACCATGAGTAAACTGTAGAACCATGAGTAAACTATAGAACCATGAGTAAACTGTAGAACCAGGAGTAAACTGTAGAACCAGGAGTAAACTGTAGAACCAGGAGTAAATTATAGAACCAAAAGTAAACTATAGAAGAACCAGGAGTAAACTGTAGAACCAGGAGTAAACTTACTATAGAACCAGGAGTAAACTGTACTGGTTGGTTAATACTAACGCTAACCATCATTTAGTATATATATATATAGACTAGGGGTAAAGAAATGACATTTTTCAGTAAGAGAATTAAAATTTATTCAATAACAGAGTCTCATGACAGATTCACAACAGTACCACCTTAAACTCTTCGTCTGAGCATATGCGGGAGATTATTCTTGGTTTTTGTTAGAAAATCTATAAATTTTAATTCAAGTTCCTCTATACAGAGGTTCTACAGAGCAATCTCCCTCTGTATGCGGGAGATATTCTTAGTTTTTTGTTAGAAAATACATAAATTTAATTCAAGTTCCTCTATACAGAGGTTCTAGAGAGCTATCTCCCTCTGTATGGCTAGAAATGAAATGTACTCTTTTTTAGGAATTGACATCAAATAACGTTGAGGGCTTTAAATGGCTTCAAGGTATATATTTTATCGAAAATCAGCTGAAAAGAGGTGCTTTTCAAAATGAGTTTTTTTTCTAGTTTATTGGGAATTATTTTCCTGTTAAATTGGAGCACAATTGCAGGTAAACAGTGAGAAAATACTCGACAGTTTATTACAATATTATCTTTTTCTCCAAACATCGAAAATCAGGAAGTAAGTATTTCAACATTGTACCTCTGACCTGGGAACTTTTCTGTTAGGCACTCATAAACCAGATCCCTTGTTATCGATATCCAAAGTGGACACTTTTATTATGAGGATTAAATGAAGAATTCTAGGGCACGATTATGCAGGATATTGATTACAGATTAAATTAATCGCAGAATAACAAAAGATTGAGATCAAGCATTGATCTTGATATTCACAGAACAAGAAATCTCAGCTTTAAATATCTTTATATAAATCTTATCACCTGAGGTTGCTGATACTCGTTAGGAGGAGGGTAATATCCTTGTTGAGGTGGAGGATATCCTTGTTGAGGTGGAGGATATCCTTGTTGCGGTGGAGGATATCCCTGGTTGGGTGGAGGATATCCTCCCTCCCCTGGGGGAGGGTAATATCCACCAGGTTGAGGATTATATGGAGGAGCAGACATTCTAATCCTGAAAAAAAACAAATTCAGAACTTGGTTGCTAAGTCCCGAGTCCGAGAAGCCTGTGTCACGTTAAATAACGCCCGGGCGTGATATAATGCCACGACTGTTGACGTTTCATTAACAGGTTTATTTTCTTACCCTGCAGGTACCAACTCCCTCCCAAATGCCCGGACTACTCTGGTCTTAAAAATCAAATACGAAAATATTTATATTGACCAATTTACCTAATTACATATCTTTTTCTATGTAAAGCAATCGATGATTTTTAATTCTATGAAAGGTGGACGGGTCTGTCCTTGAGAACACTTTTTGCCCCCCCCCCCCCTAATCAATCTTGAACATGAAAACTATTTTCAACAAAATTAATATATTTATTTTGTATTATTTCAAGATTAAGTTAGGTTAAGACAATTTATGGTCCGAACGCTTCGGCAGGACAGGCAAGGGGTCCAATCGGCACGGTTCGGACAACTTTGACCATGTTTAACATTTAAGCTCTATAACAAAATTAATAGAATCGGGGAGGGGGGCGGTCCAAAATGCGTTCTTCAGGAAATAACCATTAGGTGTTAACCTATGCTTTTAAAAAATCAATATTTTGGAGAAAATGTCAAACTATATCCTAATTCAGGACAATCTTGAGGAACAAGCTCATCATTTAAAAAGCTTTCTCTATAAAATTCCTATTTTGATAATGACTATCTATCTATGTATAAGTTCCGTGGAAAAGCAATATTAATCTTAAATTTGCTGGTACACATGAAACAATAAAAGTACATTTATGACACATAGATTCATAACTTATCAATGGTGTACACAGGGGGCAGTGCCCTCCTAGACCTGTAACGGGGGGGACGCCCCCCTAGAACATATCAAATCAAAATCAAATCAAATCATTTATTTCTGCAGAAAACAAAACAATATTTACGAATTAATTATTAAAAATCACAATATGTAAAATATTTTTTTCCGCAGCAGGCGGACTCAATAGCCTAGGGGGCTGTTTTAGCTGAGCCTCCCTGTTAACCAAATTCTTTAATTGAATTATAGCATTTATAAAAAAAAACACATACACAAAAAGAACAAAAGAGAAAATCAGTGCAGCATCAATCGAAGTTGGGCATGAGCTATAACACTTTAAAAATCTGAAACTGCAGAGTGAAGAGCATAAAAAATGGTAATTTCTTAGTAAACGATTTTTGGACCCTATCAATTTTGTACATGGATCACGTAACACATGGATATAATTGGTCATGAGGCCGCAGCGCCCGGTCCCCTACCCAGTCGTAGCCGCGAGGCGCTCGGCCCAGAAATTGTCTTGGCTGAAAATTGGCTGAAAAAATTTGTGGTCATGTACAAAAGGGTGGGGGGTCCCAAAATTCGTATACTTATAGCTGAAGGACCCAAAAATTTAGTTTGCTGTTTGTTCTATTTGTTATATGTTTCAAGGAGAGATTAAGGTACTTATAGTTGTAAGGTAATTGGACTGTATGTGTACCATTAAAAGGGGGGGGGGGGAATAAATGTTTGGCGCTTCGCGCATATTTCGCCCCCCCCCCTAGATTTTTTCTGTGTGTAAGTCTGAACAGTCTGAAGTCATAATCTATGGCCATCTTTCTACAGTAAAACAATGATGCATTATTCGGTTTTAGATCAGATTGTTTACTTAATGCCTCTGCCGAGCTTAATGAGAATGTAACAATGCTTTTTAAGTGTTTTTTTAGAACAGTAGTAGTTCCTAACTTTTTGTTGATTTGTTATACTTAAGTTAGTGTATTCCTTGAGAACGATTTTTGGACCCCCCTCCTATCAATTTTGTATGTGGATCTTATATGTTAGACATGGATATAATTGACCATGTGGCCGCAGCGCTCGGCCCCCTAGCCCATCCTAGCCGCAGCGCTCGGCCCGGATAGTGTTATATAGGTTATATCCTAACCCTAAATAATAATAAATAAATACTAATTTTCGTCACGTACAAAAATTGATTGGAGGGGGGGCTGGGGGGCCCGGAGGGGGGTCCAAAAATCGTTCACTAGGACAGACCCCTTTTAAGTTCCTCTATTGATGAAAGATAATCTTGCCGATATTACTTCAAGTGGAAACTGTAGAGCAATCGCTATTGGCAGTTTAAGGTAATTTCTAATGAACGATTTTTGGCCCCCCCCCCCCCCCCCCC